GTTATAAACACTTGCGAGCAGAGAACTCTCCAAAAAGAGATCTTCACACAGTGGAAATTACTCAGATCCAATACTGGCGCTTCTTGGTGCCCACACGTTGAAACACTGGCATGGGTTGCTGCAACTCCAGAAGCCTTTAGTGACAACAATTTATTAATTATTTGGGACTTCAATGAAGACTTGAATGATATGGTTTGTTTGGAACCATTCTTTGAGTTAGATACGATCCTGTAACGTTACCTCTATTTTCAAGTCAAACCATATTCTTTCCATTGCTTTGCCAAAGCAGTTGGTCAGAGAAACTTGTGTCTATTTCGTTGGTAAACGCCATAAACTCTTCATAGTGCCTATGGTTTGGTGTGGAATCTAGCTTGGATTCTGATATGTTTTCTGATGTGTTTACTTCTTGGAAATAAGGATAATCATTGTATATTTCGGTGTTATGGTCCCAACCAGGCCAACCCTCACTGGAGACTATTTATTTGAGGGGGGGGTTGGGGAGGGGGGGGTTTGACACCTGTGATTTTATGATCTTACATGTAAGAAATATATAGAAATATATAGAAATATATGTGATTATATGTGATTATATGTGTACATTTACATGTTTATTATATATATCATATGATTATATATTATATATGTTTATATAACTATATATATATATATATCAAATATTGCCAGGATTGACAGTAATTTGCCGCTCAGTAACAAAGAGCTCACCTAGCAGGCGAAGCCGGTAGGTGTTGGAACACCTGTGGTGATACCACGAAGCTGGCATTTTTACCATTTTTGTATGGAAAATGATGGAAAATCATGCTTCACATGCTGGAAAATGCTGGAATGATTTTGACCTTTCAACGATTTCAGCCATGGGAAAATTTAAGTGGAGCCACAAGCCTGCTGGTTGATGTTTTTTTATTCTCCGAAAAATGACACTGACATACAATGAACTATAGATTGAAGAACAGTAAATTATGTAAAAGTTATCTCATGTTATACGCCCCCGGCGTTTAGCCCTCATTTGGCATGGGAATGGGTAGATCTTGCCGGCCCTCACCTCACCAGTGGCGAAACACCGAGCCCTTGGAGCCCTTGGGCCCCTTGGAACGTCGATCAGATGCCGGCGGAGCCGACTTCGTAAACTTCGTGTCGTCCACGATCTTGTGCAACCTGAGTTGTGGTGATGGCTCGGTCAAATTTTGACCGTCCTAAGATCAAGAGACCTCTGTGTGTAGAAGCTTGGAATTTGAAGTATGAAAACAATTGAAAACATATCAGCATTGTTGCGAAATCACCTGATGAAATGTGAGTTGCGCCCTAGTTTGATATAAACAAGATGAAACAAGTGACCATGCTGTCTATATCACAAACTGTGCGTTTTAGGGTCTCCAACTGCTCAAATGTGACCCCTGCACAGGGCTCAAAAAAAAAGACCAACACCACACCTTGGCGGCAACCAGTCTTATCGGATACGGATGGGTAAGGTACTGTATCAGTCATTTTCAGTATGACCGCCGGAATCTGTTGCCATGCTCATGATGAAAATCCTCATCCAAGTCCATGTCTTGGGGTTGAAAAAAAACCAGTCCGCAACGGAAAATGATAAAATCACCCATCGATTTCCATTGATCGTGATGATTGTCTTACTACCCATAGCTTTACGGATGCCCAAAATCATTTACTGTAGAGATCCCTCCATCCTACAGTCGATTGATTTGTTGGAACATCGGACCAACATGGACCAACTCTATGGGATACGCTTGGGTTCCCAGCACCTGGGATTTATATTTTAACATATTTTAACCAATTCACTGGTTGGTGATGGTTGGTGGTTGACCTACCCCTCTGAAAAATATGAGAGTCAGTTGGGATGATTATCCCATATATTATGGAAAATACAAAATGTTCCAAACCACCAACCAGATTTTGAGCATTTCCCACCAGAGATATTCCCAATTCTGGGTCGACTGTCCGAGTTGCACCCGACGCAGGTTGCTGCCACTTCCGTCCTTGGACTGTGGCACAGCCACCTTAAAATGACAGTTAAAAAAAAAGGTCATGGATGGCCACTTAGTAATCCCATCACCGGTCCCAATTATGTGGAAATTTCCTACTAAACCATGGTTTCTAAGGGGGTGTTTGATATTAGGGGGAAAGAATTAACCATCTGAACAAAAATTGGGATATCCGAATTTACCAGTGTTTTGATGACTAGGTTTTTGTTTTTCTATCTTTTACAGTGCTACAATCACCCCGAAAAACATACGGTTAGCCAAATGTATCAAATGCAATTCAAATGCACCATGTTCAATTTTTGTGCGGATATAACCATCAGTTGAAAGACTCCGTGTGTCTTGCCATCTCTGGCGCCCTAAGTCTCAAACGCTGGTGCTATTGGCATTATTGGCCTTTGCGCCGCCGGTAGCTTTGGAACCTTGGCAGTCAAAGGGATCAAGAGCCAAGGGTCGACGTTGACACCCCTTTTAACGGCAGTTTTTAAGTTGACCAACCGTTTATTTACAAATCAACCAAAAACATTCTTTTTTGTCGAATATCCGGATTGGCCATGTCTACCTCTGCGGTTTTTTGTTAATCTTCCTCTCTTCGCTGAATAGCACGGCCACATTGCGGTCCCGGAAATAGCTCACATCAACGAATTCAAAGTTTCTGTCGATGGCCGCAGCCCACACGGTGTATATTGGTTTGAAAATAACATCCGTATCTATCTCTATGTGATACACACAGATCTAAATACCTATGTGCACATTTCTCTATAATTCTCTTTGCCTATTTCAATATCAATATCTATACCCGTATGTTATGTTTTATATTATATATATATACATTCAAACAAATAGAAGACACATGAACATTTTGGTCAGTTTTGAGATCAATCATCAAATTCTTTTCCCACTTCACATAATTATATATATAATTATATGTGTGTATACACACATATGATATATATATATGTGTGTGTGTGTACTATTGTGTACTCATATTCATTCATCACATAAAAAATATTAAAGTAATAAACTACCCATCCAAACTAGGTTACGCCGTGCCGGGTGGCCTGTGGAGGGCGGCGCCACTTTTGTCACTCATGGTCGCCACTTGCATATCTTTCCCAATTCTGTGCGCATCTGCTGAGGTGTGCATTTTTCATTCACATGTTATCAACGTAGCATCAAGAGTGTCTTCCAAATTATATCAACGTAGCATCAAGGGTGTCTTCCAAATTACTTCAACATGTTATCAACGTAGCATCATGACGTGGTCGTAAGAACGTTATTAGCCCCACCCCAGCCCACCCCAACCCATATATATATATATATAATTATATGCGTATATATACAAATCCACAAAATCCCACAAAACGCACAAGCCACAGGACACAGCCTTAGCAACTGCCCATCCAAGGTTTCCCCAGAGGCTCAAAAATCAAAATCGCCTCCCCGTCCCTAACCCATCCCGTCCGCAAGCGCAGCATGCCATTTCTCTGTCCCATGGGCTGGGAGATCCCCCAAAGGTATCCAAATGTCAGGAGAAAAACCATCAAAATGAAAACATACGGGAAATGTCCAGCCATGATATTTGAAAAGGCCGTGCTGCGTCCCTGCTTCCTCCTCTGCAGACTAGCCGCTCTCACGCGCCAAAGTCTGTTGGACCACATGCTCCACCCGCGCCCGGAGATTGGGCGGCTCAGAGATCGGGGGCTTGGGACCCTCTGAAGTTGCCTTGTCCTGGCGGGGAAGGATCAACTCGTGTCTTGTGCCATTTCTGCGAGTCAAAGACTGGTCATGGTTGATGTTACGCCTAGAAATTCTGCAGTTCATGTCAACGCTGGATTAATGAACACCTGGGCTCTTGATCACTGGGCACCAGAGGGTACCAGATGGTACCAGTAGCAAATGACACCACTATTTTCAACGGCTGAGGCGACCGCATATCTTGGATTGCACAAGCAGCTTGTGAAGAAATAGTGAGGCTGACGGGGAATGACGGCTGCGGATACATGGCTCATATGACCAGCAAAATCAGGATATGTATGAACCAATTTTAAAATGTTCAGCTGCATTTCATCTTTGATTTCAGTCAAATACCAAAGGGCTAGCCATGTAGACCTTGGCCCAAGCACGTTACGACGGTCCCCGGTCTCCTGCAATTTGCTGACCACGCGACTCATAGTCTCCCGAATGGATCCGCCTGCAGACTTCGTCGTGTCCCTCGACCAAGGATGTTTCTTCCGGTCCTGGACGATGCTGGACGCAATGGAGAAACTGTTTGGCCGGCAGCCAGGAGCTACCAGATATGCCACAATTTCTCATGATTTGGATGATTAATTCTTACAAACACGCACTCTATCTATAGATATATATATATATGTGTGTATATATAGCATATATGGTGCGTATATATATATATATATATATGTGTGTGTGTGTGTATGTATATGTATATATATATATATGTAATGATCTATAGATACTACAGAGCATTCATATATAAAAATAAATACTTGATGTTGATATTCATGATATTCATGATATTCATGATATTCATGGGGGTTACCACAATTCCTTGGGAATTGCGGTGTTTTCCTTTTGGATCATGGAACCAGTTGTAGAATCGCTGGGATGGACCATCCCAATGATGTAACTTGGGGCTGGTCCAGTCATTCGACTCATTCGACCTACCCAAGGACCTCTTTTCTATACCCCAAATCATCACCTCCCCTCTGCCCCTCCCTTCTGTTGTTCTCGAATTTATTTCTTTACGTCTTGCTCTGGTTTTCCACCACTTTTCGTTTTTCGTTTTTTTTTTTTATCTATCCCTCACTCTCATCTTTACGTTCACCACCGTAACACTTCCCCCTTCTCGCTACTTGCACCTACCCAAGGATTCTTCATCATATTCACACACAATTTTGTGTCAACTTTATGTGCATATACATAATACACACATATATTTTTCCATGTTTTTTCCTTCTTGAAGTCTCTATATAAAGAACAACCCGTGATTTGAGTTTACATCAAATCTACGAAACAGAGAGCCAAAAGTTGGACTGACCAACAGCTCAACACTCCAGCTAAGCTGAACACAAAACACGTCTCAAGTAAAGCCCTTAGCACTCAATCAATGTATTATATATATATATTACGCATTGCATATAAGAATATGTACAGTACAGGTCAACATCAAAGCCCTTGGTGGGAGTTTTCTGATTTCGATTCAACCCATCCATTTTATCCATGTTGTCCGTTTTTGAGGTACCACAATTCTCACTCGTACCCACCATTTTGCTGAACATTGGTTCCACACCAACGCTGATTCAAACGAGGCAGATGCATATGCATTTCCCTTTAAAACCTGAACACCCTCCAGTGAAGAAACATCGCAACCGGCTCAAGAATCACCATTTTGAGATTTTGAGCATGATAATCACCTTTAACTTTACAATTGTTTTGCAACAGCAGGATGTTCCTGAGGGCCCCAAAAAGGGTCTTTGTGAGTTGCTGGGCATTGCTGGGTGCCAAATATACCTGATGTTCCTCATTAACCTGCCATAGTGAGGTGACCCCCATGTATGGATTGCAAGCGAATCACGGTGATGTCACTCACGACACCGGCGTGCCGTGAATGTCAGGGGTTAGGCAACCACTCAAAGCATGTTGGATTTGTTTCGCATCAAATTATTGCAACTTTTCTGAACACCGAAATGAATCCAGCTCATATCATGTTGGATGAAAGCATTTTGTGGTCCTGTTGGTGTGAACCCCACAAAACTCATCTCAATCTCAACGGTCCCAACTATATTTGTAAAAAATCAGCATGTTAGGTAAATCATCGTTCACCAAATAGTCATGATTTAAAGGTATGACGGTATGACCATTTTTTATAACCAATTTTAGTGGATATTTCTTGGGGTGGTGCATTATTTAAAGAGGCCGGAGGCCAAATCTAACCCGCCGAATCCGCTCCTCTCCAAAGCTGGGACTCCGAGAGCGACGGTAGCGCTCAGCCCTGGTGTCCTTGAGGATTTTTCACCCCTCTCCGCTGGTAAATGGATCATCCCGTTCCAATTGATAATGGGGCCTTGATATATTCGCATTATAAATTATATATATATGGCTATAGGGGTTATATCATATATATAATGTATTACATATATCCCAACGCGTTCAATATTGTCCTTTGACCTACTCCCACACATACATACATGTATATATATATATATATACATACGAACGAAAAGGTCCCGGGGTCCCCGTAAAAACCAAGGGAAAAATGATGATATCGTGGGTAAATTAAATGCTATAATTAAAATGATATAAGTATGGCATACAGGGCGTTCCCTTTGTACGAAATGCAATTTGAAATATGTCATCTGGAAAAATGAGACGTAAATAAACGATGGGATGTAGGGGCGCCCCATTTCTCTTCAACCCAGTATCAAATCAAGTGATTGAACACACAAACACCATAGATCATCTGGGAGTAAACCAGCAAGAGGATAATGTGGATATCACCGGCAATGAAAAAAAAACAGATCAACCAGCAAGAAGTGAGGTCTGCGGTAAAAATTCAGAACTGGATGGTGACATTCGGGGGATCGGCCCAGAAAGCTGCAGCCGCTTAGATCCGCTTAGTAGATACCCCATTCAGAGACCCCCAAAAAAAAATGTACTACGGGAAGATCTTAACTTTTCGGTGGCCATTTTTTGGAAGAAAACACCAACATCACTTAAAATCATCAAAGGATCTGTGGAAGTTTGATCCACTTCATCAGTATCAACTATATGATATCTGGTTGGTGGTTGAGCCTACCCTCTGGTAATTTAACATGGCTATTGAAAATGGCCATTTATAATGGATTTACCATTGAAAATGGTGATTTTCCATAGTTATGTTAGTTTACCAGAGGGTACCCCTCTGAAAAATGATGGAGTTCGTCAGTTGGGGTTACTATTTCCCAATATATGGAAAAATTTGATCCAAATGTTCCAAATCACCAACCAGATATGTTGATAAAAATTGTATAATTAGTTGATAATGAATCTGGATAAACCTCAATAATAAAATTTATAAAAGGGGATAGTCACCCCTACTAACAATCCATTCCGAAAATTCCCAGGCTTCGGGAGAACAGGCTTCGGTCGTTATAATAAAATACCAGAACGCCCATCCACCAACCTTCACCCCGGAAATCTGAAATCGCCTCATCATCATCCCAGTTCCGCACCATGGCGCTAGCGAGCTAGCTCAGGGGCGCCGGGGTGGTGGAGTTATGCAAAGGATGGGAATGTACTTGGGAAAATTGGAACATGTCCTAGGAGCTTGGACATGACACCTGGGAACTTGAAAGAAATTGAAGGTGCCCCAAGATATTAAACACAATATCTACTGATCATTTGCATTAATATCATTTAATATCTAACCATAGTTAATTAATTAATCCCCATTCTCAGAAAACTTTTTTGGGGATGATGTCGCGACTCCCAGGACTCATGTTTTCGGGGCTGTCGAGGGGGCAGCAAAAGGGCTACTGTCATCCTCCTGGATGAATTCTCAGCAATGGGAGATTCCCGTTTTTAAATGATGCGGAAATGCGGAAATAAAGGAACATCACCCAGGAAATTGAAGGTCAATCATGTTGAGCCAGGTGTAAAGCAGTGTTGTGGTGACCTTTCACCTTTTCTGGAACCAGAAAGGCAGCAAATCTAGTGGTCACATGCATTCCTGACGGGCCTGACGGCTTGCAATGCCTGCCACAATCCGAATGTCGACATTCGGCCTTCCTGGATGTTGCTGGGTGAGCATCATCCGTGCCCTTGGGGGGGCAATGATCACTTAAGCAGCTAAATTAACGAAGGGATGTTTGAAACCTCATGCCAGCATCGACCTTCATGGCCCGTCAGTGGAGGCTGAAATTCTCTAAGGTACCCACATCTATTTGGAGAACCGTCCATTTTGTATGCATCCATATTGATTCCCCTTAAAGGTCTGGTTGGTGTCTCACCCAGTAACCTAACAGGTAGTAAAACGGAAAATTGATGAAATGAACATAAATGGACCATGGAGTTTGATAATTTAACAATAATTTAACCTCATTTACCTATGAAAAATGGTGTTTTTCCATCGCGTTTAGGGTTCTTTTGTTACTGGCAACTGCTCGCCTGGCAGATTCTGCAACTTCCACCTGGCGGGGCCGCCACATCGACAGTTCCCTTGGGGGAAAATTCGGGAGTTCCCAACTTTGGGTTGGTCTAAAAACGGGGCATACCCACAAAATAGCATGTTTTTTAAGGGAAATGATGATGAATCAGTTGAGTGGTAGGAATATTAGATATATTATACAGTATATAGATAATTATTTGGCAGGTAGTGGATTGCAGTGGTAGGAACATTATATAGATATTTGGCAGGTACCAGCCAATGATTCCATAATTCAAATGTTGAAGAACATCCAGTCAATGTCAGCCCCAGATGAATTGTTCCTTGCTGATTAATTAGGAGAGCGCCACCTGAAATCGAATAAGTCCCAAAGGTCAACATCAATCGGTTGTCAACATGTCCATAAATATGGTATTCACCACGTAGCAAAACAAACAATGGTCCTGTCATACCCAATTGATTGATAGAAAACCACATCAAAAGTATCATTATGACATATAATGACTATAATAATTCACTATTAGAACCATTCCCCGAGCGAACAGAGAGGCCCTGCCAGCTACACGGCTTGGAAGACTCGACGAGATCATACCCCCAATTGATGGCTTTGAAATGGTACATGGGGGGGTACCCCTATTTTATCATCCATTTATATATGGATTTTCCATTGTAAGCATTCCATAAAATGGGGTGGGTACCCCTATTTTAGGAAACCTCCATATGGGTGTATGATGCGGCGATTGAACATGGCAATTGAATGGGTTCACCTCATCGTCATCCCTAAAAATAGAATCCACACCGATGAACAAAGGGCACAGCTCGTAGCACCGCTGTCCAGATCATTTTAGTTTTAGTGCTGCTCATGTCTCCGCTTGAGGGAGCATGGTTCGGGTTGCCTCTGTCATCGCCGAAATTTTGCACAATCATCTCAAGTCTGAAATGGTCGGAGATACACGACACCTTACCCAAAGTTATCACCAAATGCAACAAAATTGATGACTCTGAGATGGAAAGATTGTAAACCCAGAAATTGTTCAAGGGAAAATCTTGGAAAATCTGCAGGAAAAGGGTCGGTTTGATGGCAAAGTCCCTTGTGTCCTTTAGATGTTGCCTTAAACTTTAAGGGCATTGCTACCCATTCCTGACTTGAGACCCGACTTTTGCTAGCGCATGCCTTGCTAGGCGGCTGGGCATAGGTCAAAACCTATGATTTTCCCACATTCAAATCCTGGGATGAACATCCAGCTGTTTTTTGCCATTCTATAGCAACTAACTACAGTATAGCCATTTGGGCATTTTTTTTTGGGCTGCCGTTTGGGATGGTGATCCCCTATGACACATATTGCGATTCATCACTGATGGCCAGACATCTGTATTTGGAGGCCACGATGTCAACGACCTTCTGGTGTTTGAAGACCTCGGCCAATCATGATTCCAATGATGGGCCCCTATATTTGTGTATCCCCCAAAGGTGGTTCATAAATGCCAAAAACAGGATAAACCACGCTTATATATAATAGTATATATAGGTGTGTATATATATATATATATGTGTGTGTGTGTAAATATATATATATATGTGTGTGTGTGTATACATGTGTCTCATACTATCTATGTGGAAACATTTTTGGGGATTCTCTCATTGCAGCTCGCTGGACACCCTGACAACTGCTATGCAACCTACCACAACTGCCATTCCAACCGGAAATCTCCCAGACCCCCAAAAAATTGAGGGTTCCAGAGTAGCTGTCAGGGGGTTCATACAAATCCCCATTGTGGTTGGTTAGAACCCATTCAAATCAGGAAAAAAAACACGGATTGTTCGAATCTAGAATCCGCTAAAAACTGCTAATGTGGGTAAAACAATCATGAGCCACCCCTCAAATCACTATCTGGTTGGTGGTTTCAATCCCTCTGAAAAATATTAGTGAGTCACTTGGGATGATGACATTCCCAACATATGGAAAGTCATGTCATCCATTCATGTTCCAGTCACCAACCAGCTATTTTTATAGGTGGTATCATTCCCTAAATGGGTCAGAATCGTTTCAACATTGCCAATCTTAGATACCCTGCAAAAAACTAAATTCTTTGCTGGTTAGTAGATATTCCCATTAATACTAAAAGACTAAAGGATTAAAGTATCCATGTAAGATTGACCTAGTCAAATCCCCATTTCTGAATGCTTCCCAGGCTCCTCGGGATTGATGGGACTAGGCTCCACCACGTTCTTGGGACTTTCGGGGCCCAGCGCCAAGCAACCACTGCTCCTGAGAACCAGATGGTTGTGTCTGAAAATGTTGTGTACCCCTTTTTCCCCAATGGTTTTGCTGATCATTATCCCGTTTTTAAATGGCTACAATTGGGAATATACCCTATTTTCAGACAAACCCAGATGCTGATGATGGTGGTGGTGGTGCTGCTGATGATGATGGTGGTGGTGGTGGTGCGTCCTACATTACATGTGAAAAGTCATGCTCGAATGCTTCTGCTGGTGGGTGAGGGTCAGCGGTTGCGAAAAAAAAATCGCATGCAGGCCAGAGTCCTCGATGCATAAGGTCAATCTAAATAAATCCACTCAGTCAAGATTTGTCAGACCTCTTTGCCCGAAACGTATCGAATTCTTCGTTCAGAAAGACTGACCATGCACTGATAGGCTCACGCGTAGCTGGTTGTCTCTACCGCTGCCACACGGCATTAAAGTCAAAGGCGGGAAAAAAATGCACTGATAGGCTCACAGAAGGCCCATCATGGCCCATAGATTCCCCAAATGGTGGAATTCCCATGGGGAAAACAAACCCAGGACTTGGGGGGGTAATGACTCCAACGCCATCCCCGGCTTTGTTCAGTCGGTCACTTAGCTACCGGGACAATCCATGTTGAATCCCAACCATTCCCAAAGCTGCTTTCAAATCACGCGTGATGGCTTCATCAGAAGCCAAGCCAATCCATAGAAGCAAATAAAAAAAGGACTAGCTGGTAACACTGGTAAGCTGATATCAAGTACACCGCATTAATACATGGCATACCAAAGTGATAATTCATGCGTGTACTTCATATGGTTCATATGCTATCAATTATATGGGACACTTTGGGATATCCAAATATAAATTCTGGGATGATCCCAAAGTGTCCAAAGAATCCCAAAATTCTGGGTGGTCATCCAAAATTCTGCAACCGTTGCTGGTGAACTTAGCTGCCATTGGGAGCTTACTATATGAGGCCCCCCCAAAAAAAATAGGAAAGTGTTTCCAGGATATAAACATGGGTCATTAAATGTCCCCATTGAACATCACCCAACCATTAGGTATATGGTCTATAATGGCTACTATAAGGTGATGTCCAATATTCCCAAAATGGGACAGTTACCAACCCCTGATAAACGAGGTTCCAACAGAATTCCACCATACTTTCCAACTTTTCTATCTGGAGGTTGCCATACCATTTGGTCATGTCATATACAAGTAGCTATGGAAAATTGCCCATTTAGTTCGATGATGTCCGATGATTTACTTGTTAAAATTGGCGATTTTCCATATCAAATTGTGAAATGACATGAAAGGGTAACAATAAACTACCCATTTGACGATGGTGTATGCCACCCATTTATCGTAGTTTATATAGTTGGTTTTGTCACATTGACCTGAATTGTAATGTTTGTCACCCACTACATCCCCATTAAATACACATTAATCATTAATCCCTGTTAAAATCACCCATCAATCACCGGTAACTGTGGTCACCCCATGATACCCCATATATATATCCATATATGTATGTATAATAGGCACCCATGACTTAGGACTTAGGTCACCATAGTGACATAGGAGTTTGTGCACCAAGTCCTAAGTCACTGGTGTTCTTACCAGGTGATTTGTGTGCACCAGGTCCTAAGTCACTGGGGTTATGATTGGACTTAAGCACTTTTTCGGGTTAAAAAAAAATAAAAAATCTTCTCTTAATAAGTCATCAGGACCTACATACTTACATTACATTACAGTACAGTAAATTACATCACACTACGGTACATTACATTTCATTACCGTAAAGTACAGTACATCACATTACACTACAGTACATTACATTACATTATAGCACATTGTATACAGTACATTACATTACATACATGCACAGGACTTGGTGCACAAAATCGTCTGTCACTAGAGGGGCACAAGTCCTAAGTCATCAGAACCTACATACTTACAGTACACTGCAGTACAGTACATTACACTACATTACAATACATAATACGTTGAACAAAAATCAATAAACAAAAAGAATGCATATAAAATATATATATATATATTCCAAAACATATTTCAAAAATGAAAAAACAAAAAAATATATCTATATTTTTGATTATTTCTGTAATTGTTTTAAAATAATGTATGTATGTAAAATCGAAGGAAAAAATGAAAATCACAGATTTTTTTTGAACATTGTCATTTTCATCAGTTTACACAAGTCCTAAGTCATCAGTTTTCGCAACGGTTGGCTCGAGGACTTCGACCCAACAACGGGGTAGTGCAACGGGGTAATACAACAGGGACCACAATAGGGAAGCACAACGGGGAAAAAACCAGGAGAAACAACAGAGAAAAACGAAAAGTGAAAAAAAACAAAAAAACAAAAAAACAGATTTTTTATTTTATTTAGTTGCTTTAATATAATGTCTGTACATAAATCGAAGGAGAAAAAAATGAAAATCACAGATTTTTGAAATATTTTTTTGAAGGTGGGCCAAATAGGCAAATAGCCAAATAGCTGCAGCACACGAGCGTGATGACTTAGGATCATCTTAGTATACTTCTGCTAGTTAATTCCTATGTCAGCCTGGTTTTACGAGTGGTCCATGCCGCACAAAAAAATCAAGCATAGTTTCTAATCTCATACGGACACCTGATGAGTTGGGACTTGTGCAGGGGGGGGTCTGAAGCATGATGAGATAGGACTTGTCCACCCCAGGGTATCTTTCACAAGTCTTAAGTCACTGGTACCTAATATATTATATATGATATATATATATATATATATATGTGTGTATATATATATATTAATATATATATCTGTGTGTGTGTACACGTATACATGCATATATAATTAGCCATTGATCATCACTTATCATCATTTCAATGGCCATGTTTTCACCAAAAATCAGCCACGATTCTTGGATCCCCAGGTGAACAGCTTCCCACTCTCCGTCAGGGCAAAGCTGCACTTGTCACCTGCGGGGACGCAGCTTCACCGTGTTCCCGGATGGATCTCTAAACAGAAGGCCAAAAAAACTAGCATGGACACTGAAAAAAGGCAAAATTCAGAAGTTTTTCTATCCCATCCAGAGTTTAACCACAAACGTACATGAAGCCTGAAAACTCAAATTGGAGTCTCTCTCTCTCTCTCTCTCTACATAGGAATGCTACAGCGACAGTAGCAGCGTCACGATTACAGTATCCAATTCTGTGCCACTCTTGATAGCTGTTGGATGCCAGTAATGTGCATCACTCCCAGCACAGAAGGATGGTATCCAACTTCATGATTGGTTGGCAAGTACCAGGTTACAACTTGCAACCCAAACGTAACTGGGATAGAATCCCATCCCCCCAATATTCAATTCTCCCATTCTATGGTCCCACATATGTATAAATACACCCCCAACCAAAAAAAACGTGGTTTCTGAGGGGTGTTTGATGTGAGGAAGGGAAAATCATAGGATCATCAACCAGCATCTTACCCATACCTGGTTGCTTTTCTTCGTGGCCTGCAGCTACCTTAACGATTCGATGGAAGTCCTTGAGCGACGCTGGGAATTGGGATGTACCTTCCGCTACCCGGCCTGGTAAACGTTTACAGTTTGCGACATAGAAAATGGCCATAGAAATAGTTGATTTCGCCATTGAACATGGTGATTTTCCATAGTTATGCAAACGTTTACCAGAAGGTAATCGATGTCATTTGGTTCCTAATGTCCTTTTGGTAACAATCGAGGGGCCAGTTTGGTAAGGGGGGTTGGCCCCTCTATTCATCACATCCATGGTTACAATACTATGACTATGACGTGTTTTCCGCACCCCACCAATCAAGAACACAAAGTTGGACATCTGAAAATCATGATTGGAAAATATCCAAAATGGCTTCCTTAAAAATCTGAAAACAATGACGCGATGGCTGGCGAATCCCCCCTTGTAGTGAAGATGATTTTCCCAGCTATAAATTTCTATTTGGTGTAGCTGGCCATGGCCATGTTTGATTCGCGGAGGGTGCCATTCCATATTGGATTCTCGCGGTAGATCCGATCGGAGGTCGGCCCATCCAGGTTCTGCATGGGCCGATTACTTGGGTAAAGTTTGAAATTTATTCAAAGAACAATTAAATCTATATATATATATATGTGTGTGTGCGCGCGTGTTGAAAATTATATGCGTATATTGTGTGTATATTGTATGTATATATATATAAACGTATATGTGCGTGTGTGGTATATTCATACCTACTATAATAGTAATTAGGGCCTTGGTTGCCGCAACCCTCAAACTCCAACCATGGGCCGAAATTCTTCTGTTTTCCGGCCTTTTCCTTTGTTGTGCTGTGATTGGCTTTCCGAGGATAGTTCCATTTTAGGCGGGGGTATCCCATCCATAAATGGGCTCAAACTAAGTTACCAATAGAGCCCAGGCAAGCCAGGTGACGGAAGTGAAAGAAAAGAGCCTGACCACCTGGTTGTCACGGCCTCTGATGATGCCACCTTCTCTCCTGACAAACTTCTTTCCCTATTCTCTTCACTCCCCCTTTCACTTCGCTTCCCTACTTTTGTCACCTCCCAAGTTTCTTCACATCCCTACTATCGTCACTTCCCTACTCTCGTAACTTTCTCTACTCTCCTCTCTTGGCTATTGTCTTCACTTCCTTACTCCGTTCATTTCCCCACTCTCTTCATTTCCCCACTCTCTTCACTTCCCTAGTCTTTTCACGTCCCTTCTCTTTTCACTTCTCTTTTCTTGTCACTCTTCACTTCCCTATTCTCTGCACTTCCCTACTCTTTTCATTCTTCACTTCCCTGCTCTCTTCATGCTCCTCTCTCTTCACTTCCCCACCCTCTTCACTTCCATACTTCCCTACTTTCTTCACTTCCCCACGCGTGGTGATGTGGTGATGTGGTGATGATGCCGTGATTTGGTGATGTTGGTGATTGTGATGATGGTGATTGTGATGCTGGTGGTCATTGACTTTCTTCACTTAAAAAAAAACGTAAGACAGGGTTTACACGTCTAAACTGCCTTTGACTGCTCACTTATAGCAATCCCCAAAAGGATAGAAAAGTGTTTCCAGGAAGTTAGAGTTACAAATGATGTTTACTGTAATAATATATATATACACATATTTCAAGGTGTCCCACTGTTTTATCTATTTTGGGGTTGCTATACTCATGGTACTCGCCATCGCCCATCCCGATAAATTGGGTGTAAGCCCTTGCTCAGTTCCAAGCGTTACCCAAAAATATATAGCACCTCAAAAAAATTACTTTACTTCGTATGATCCCCACCATGACATTTATCGATTTGTTACTGGCAAATCTTCTGGCATTCTATCTGACATATCTTCTGGCATTCGATCTGGCATACCTTCTGGCATTCTACCTGGCATACCTTCTGGCATATGTTCTGGCATATCTTCTGCCATCCTATCTGGCAAATCTTCTGGCATTCTATTTGGCAAACATTCTGACATACCTTCTGGCATTCTATCTGATATTTTATCTGGCATACCTTCTGGCTATTCATATCTGGCATATGTTCTGGCATATCTTCTGGCATTCTATCTGGCTATCTGGCATATCTTCTGGCATATCTTCTGACATCCTATCTGGCATTCTATCTGGCAAATGTTCTGGCATTCTATCTGGCAAACATTCTGGCACTTTATCTGGCATACCATCTCGCATATCTTCTGGCATACCTTCAGGCATTCGATCTGGCATACCTTCTGGCATTCTACCTGGCATATCTTCTGGCATATGTTCTGGCATATGTATCTGGCATTCTGGCATTCTGGCAAACACATACCTTCTGGCATTCTATCTCTGGCATATCTGGCATTCTATCTGGCAAACATTCTGGCACTTTATCTGGCATACCATCTCGCATATCTTCTGGCATACCTTCAGGCATTCTATCTGGCATATCTCATGGCATTTTATCTGGCATATCTTCTGGCATTCTATCTGACATTCCACCTGGCATATCTTCTGGCATTCTATCTGGCCGTTGAGGTCCAGCGGTGCACATTCTTTCCAACTTTCTTCTGCGCATTCTTTGTCCCATATCTTCCTACATGAGGTCCGGCAGGGAACACTTGGCGTGGATACTCGCGGTTGAGGTCCGGCAGGGAACACTGGGCGTGGATGGTCGTGGTTGAGGTCCGGCAGGGAACACTGGGCGGGATGGTCGTGGTTGAGGTCCGGCAGGGAACATTGGGCGGGGATGGTCGTGGTTGAGGTCCGGCAGGGCACACTGACGTGGATGGTCGTGGTTGAGGTCCGGCAGGGAACACTGGTCGTGGATGGTCGTGGTTGAGGTCCGGCAGCGAACACTGTGGATCGCGGGTCGCAGTTGGACGAGGACGACGAGGACGACAAGGACGACAAGGAGGACGAGGAGGAGGCAGGAGGCAGGAGGCGGCAGGAGGAGGAGGCAACTGACATAAAATCCAACAACCCTCACCTGGCAGGTGGGGAAAAAAAAGGAAGAAAAGAGGAAAACCTGAAAATATAAAGTAAATATCTTCACATTCACACCCTGAATACACTTGTTCTATTTATTTGGGTTGATATCCTCGGGTAAATTCACTATAGATGTGGAATTTCCCATCGTTTTCCCGGAAAAACCCATGGGATTTTCGGATTTTCCCATGGGGCTCTCCTCATCTTCGATCTGTGGAGGCAGTACCCGGTGTGGCTCCAGCCAACTGCGATCGCCCCATTCGAAGAGCTGTCCCTCCGAGGTGACACAAATCACGTGGTGCTCGCCACAGGCGAAGTCCACCACCTCCCGATTTAACGAAACACCGGGGATTCCAACCGTGGAGATCTGGTTGGTTGGTGGTTTCAACATGTTTCAACCTACCATTGTGGTTTATATATGGTTAATATATGGTTAATGATGATGGTTATTATATGGTTAAGGATGGTTAATGATGGTTAATAATGGTTAATGATGGTTAACTGGTTGGTGGTTTCAACCTACCATTGTGGTTAATATGCTGTCAATATACTGTTACCCTCCAGTAAATTAACAGTTCGACCCTGCCAGTTGTCGGGGTTGAAAGATTAGTTTCCTCTAAAAATTGGTGATTTTCAGGGTCTATGTTAATTTACCAAAGGGTAATATATGGTTAATGATGATGGTTATTATATAGTTAATGATGGTTAATGGTTAACTGGTTGGTGGTTTCAACCTACCCCTCTGAAAAATGATGGAGTGAAAGTCAGTTGGGATGATGACATTCTCAACTGAATGGAAAAATAAAATTCCATTGTTCCAAACCACCAACCAGATATGAATCTGGGTAAATTATCATTTTTAACCTGAATAGTGCCATCAATGGGGATGATTTCATTCCCTAAAATTGACAATGATTCCAGGCGGGAGAACATGGCTGGAAAATCCTGTCATCGATGAATTCCGGAAAAAAAAAATCCTTTGGGGATTGTCCATTGCCACGTTTCAAATTTGATTGCAGGAGGGTATTATGTATGTATATATATATACATAACTAACTGCATAACTAATAAGTGGATATACAGTAGGTTCTTAGTTCTTATCATTTCTTATCATCACTCATGGGGTGTACTATTGACTAAAACTATTCATTTCCCCATGAAATCCCACTAGAAATCCCACTCAACCACCATTTTTGATGCTTAAACCACCGTGAACCCACCATGGAAATCGCATGAAATCGCCAGCATGGCCGCCTTGTGTCCCTCCAAAGGCAGCGCTCGCACCAGACGGGGGAAGCGCTCCGCCGAGTACATGTCACCCATAGCCTGCGCGAAAATGGTGAGTTAAGATATAGATAACTAATATAAATATAATCATAGTATGGTTAATATAATAGTTATAACTCATAACTGAGGACTAAAAAATAAATATCAGTTATAGTTATAGTTTTATATTAGTCATAACTAATAGTTAATATAGCCTAATAGCTAATCACCAATAACTAATAATATGGTTCATGATATATACCATTAATGATGGTTAATTATATCATCTACTATATATATAGTTCATGGTCTAGATATAGATAACTGACATAAATCATATAGCTAATAGTTAATATAATATAGTTGACATAATGATATATACGGTAGACATATAGTTACTTAATGTTAATTATAACGAATCCATTACAGTTAACTATTATAACTCATGGATTATGTTCTTTCAATGATTAGTTAATATGAATTAAATATTAATAGTAAAGATATATATTTTAATTGTTAACCTCAAATATTGGTAAATTTGCAATAATCATTGCTAACTATATAAAGTTAATCATTCTAACTACTCCATTCATTATTATCAACTATATTATATGTTACTATAAATCATATAACTAATAAGTTAACAATGAATCTGGATCAATATGATCAATCATAATAATTCACTAACCTGAAATAAGGTCATTTGGGGGTAGTCACCCCTACTAACCATCATTCCCAGTGAGGGAGAACATGGAGGTCGTTATAATTTACCCAGAATGAATGGATGATTATAACAAACCTATTCATCATTAGTAGCTAATATCCATTCATCATCCATTCATCGTTATTAACTAATATCCATTCATCATTCATCATTATTAACTAATATCCATTCATCATTCATCATTATTAACTATATATGTTAATATACATTAGCTATTATGATATAATGAGTGGATGATTATTGTAACTAATGCAATCATCATTATTAACTAATATAACATAATGAATGGTGATATTATTTGAAATAATATTACAGTCAACTACAGTATGTTAATGGTGAGTTTAACTAATATGATATGATATAGTGAATAATGGTGAATATGTTAATAGTTAGTTTAACTAATATGATAATTGAATGGATGATTCGATATGCTAGTATATATATATGTATTAATATATGTTAATATGATAATCCATGAATGATGCTGTGATAAAAATGGGGTCTGATCTTCTTTGGTGGTAAATAAATGCCGATACCAAAGTTTGATCATGTCTCATGTCTCTCATCAATTTTCACTAGTAAGAGAAGCAAACGCTCATATTTCGCCATATGATATCATATGGGAGGCCATGGTCAATACAAGACACAAGCACCTTGGCCATGGGTCCCGATCTCATCCCCATCAGCACCGTCATCCCATCATCCCCGCCTCTTCCCCCAAGCCCAGCTGACCGTAGTCGTTCCGTCCCCAAACCCACAGCTCGCCCTGCTCGCTCATCGCGGCGGAGAAGTTTTCTCCGCAGGCGACTTTGCAGATCCGCGCCGGGTCACCTGCAGGCTGAAACCATGGGAAACGCCACGGTATTTTCTGCAGGAAAGTTGATGTGGATGGTATCCTGGAAATGAACCACAGGAGAAAGGTTGGGATCTAACATCATTATATAAAGTGGACCGGTGCACTGTGCAATGTTTAATTTATAATTTATATTACTTCACAGCTTACAACCCATGAATGAATGGGAAACCCCGCGTTGAGGGACTAACCTGGGTCACTGATACATCTGCCGCCAAGCCATTCGGCATATGAAAGAAGCAAGAACATCAGTCGCATGGATAACAGCTGCAACAGTTCAAAATTGGCTACTTCTTGAACCTGGTCTTCCACAATTTGATATAATTTGCACATGCAATGTATGCAGATGATTGTAGATGGAGATGTGCTGAATACGACAGAGGACTGTCCCAGGGTGAATATATTTGGACAGTCCTATCTGGACTCTGGACATGGTGATCATGGTGAATGAAGATTCTTCCCCCGGCCTCCTGCCTCCCATACTACTCCCATTACTCCCATGATAGAAACCACTATGGGAAGCTTGTGAGAATCGGGGTGCCATCATTGGTCCCAAAAAATCCCATGGAAATTGTGCAAGACAAAGGGGTTCTTAGCTCTAGTGTGATACGGTGTGATACGTGTAACTACGGATCCTGTTTACAGATCTTTGCAATAGATCTTTGCAATATTTTGCAATATCATCCTGGTACAAATCACGAAGATCTATGGGTCTTAGGGCTCTTTGTGGGTCTTCCCAAACATCGAAGCCACTGGCCATGGAAAATCCAAGCCCCCTGTGTCCTAGAACCTTGGATCGGTCATTTTGGGGGTTCCAAATGTGGGGGATCCAGCCTTTGGGGCGAAAACATGTTTTGACCACTGATCAACGTGACATGATCTCCAGAGCTGCGCAGCTGTGGGTCGGCGGCTGTGAAAAGAGGCTGCGTTCCTGGTGGACATAGCACACAGCAGCCACCAGGAGGCTTAAGATGACCAAAATCATCAACCAGTTGACCCATGACTCGAAGGATTTCAATCCACTGGACATTCCGGTGCTGTTCACCGGAAGCATCAGAGTGGTCCAGTCAACCTCACTGTGAAGCGAAATGCTCAAGGTGACAGCGACTCTTTTGGTGCCAGGGGGGAGTGCACGAGCATCCACTTCCAGCTTGAACTCTACTGTGTAGCTGTTGATGCCAGTGCTCGAACTGTAGAAATTTGGGTCCAGCTTCACTGATGGCGGTTTTTTGGGTCCCAACGGCGAATCGTTCGGATTTTCCAGCACCGTCAAGTGCAAGGAATCCTTGTCCACCATGAAAATCTCACCTCTACGCTCACAACAAAGATCGACCCTGGGGAAGATTGAAGGGGAAAGCTCCAATGCTGGACTGGAATAGTGGACCCAATGGCTATAGTTCAGCGACTTCTTCAGGGTCATCTTCCAAGTGTAGGCTTTTGCCAGACTGGCGGTGCAAGATTCTGACTCCGATACAGGATGAGTTAATCTGATTCCAAAGAAAGGAAACGAAGGCGCAGGACCCATGATGCCATCCAGAATGATATGAAGTCTTGCTGACCAGGAGCTGTCTACGATGGCAGTGCTGTTCTTGAAAGTCTTGCGGTGTCGCATTGTCACAAGAAACCTAAAGGGCAAAAAGACACACTGGATGTCTACGATGTCCCCCTTCTGGATTGTCAAGAGGTCATTGGAAATCCATGGAATCCACGCAGCCGTAGGATCCTTCATGTCCGAGCTGTTTCCGTACTTCCTGTAACTTAGCCGACCACACCACCCTCTGCCCTCATACAGAGTCAGGTTTTGGAAGCCAAAGGCCTGGCCGCAATCCACCCGCGCACGTAGAAGCTGGCCAGCCGGGAGAGCCTCAGTCCTTGTCTCAGTGCAGTCGTGCAACACCTTCGCCGATTGAAAGCTGCAGCCGGTGGGTTGCGGCAGGACATTCATCACATCCTTCGAAATATCAACGACCTCAACAGATTTGAAATGTGCCAAGTACCTCGCCACACAGGCGGGGACGCATAGAATGCATAGATAGCCGATGAGGAAAGAACCCCCCATCGGCCAGGGCGACGAAAAGAACAACGAAACATCTCGGCTGAGCCGACGTCTGCCAACATGACCTTAACATACGTACCTTAACAATGCCATGGAATCCCGAAAATGCATTTTGGAAATGTTTCGAAGATGATTACCATCCCCAAAACTAACATCGACCCTGAGAATTGGCCAGATAAAAATATTATAGAGGAAAGTAGTCTTCCAACATCTTCCAACCCCCTAGAGTATCTGGGTCTATGCTAGTTGGGGTGGTGGCATCGGAAATAGCAATCCTTGGTTATGGGTTCTCAGTTTTGAGAGGGTCAAAGTGAAGCATCAAGGCTCACCGCAGTGGCTACGGCGACGGTAAGGCATCAAATCAGGATGAGGATCAGCTGAAACAAAAAGTTTATTGCAGTAGCCCACCAGAGAGAGAGAGAGAGAGAGCGCGCGCGCGCGAGCTAGCGAGGGAGGGGGGAGAAAAAAAACACGCGAATAGATCAGCAATGGATGTGTAATGTGTAATCCCTATTCAGCCTGACATTGAGAATTCGCCTTGTTCGTTGTGCTTATGCATCCACGTGCCCGATCAAGGTTTGGCTTGACCCTGACCTGGTTCCAGAATGGAGTCATCTGTGTGCTCGAAGTAGTCAATGACGTGGAAATCAACCTCCGGTGGCCAACAAGTCCCCAAGCGAAAACTGCCGCAGTGTCCTAAATTCGCAAAACTCTTGCCCACCAAATCGATAAAAGTAACTTGTAATAAATGTATGCTCAATGTATCCATCTTTCACACCTCACTTTCTTGTCTCAATGATTCAGGCAACCCCAAGTGGAAAGTCTTGGAACCTAAGTTCCCACCACTGAGCGCAGTGCCAATGCTACTGCTTCACATTCCTAGTCTTGACGAATTTCTATGAATTTCTGGGATTAGTCAGTGGAAAGCATCATTCCAAATAGGATGCAAAATACCCTTTGGTAAACGGTCCCAAAAACTATGGAAAACCACTGTTTAATGGATAAATCCACCATTTCAATGGCAATCTTCAATAGCAAACTGCTAGTTTACCAGAGGCTAACCGGAAAACTTGATAACTTGGCCCTCCAAATATCTACATCTCCACCATTCTCACCAGCTTGGCTTCCCCACAACCCCAAATATCTTCTTATATCTTGTTGTTGGGAGAGTACTTACGCATACAGTATGTATCCGTATGTATCCATATGTATCCCATTTAATGCCAAGTCTTGTCCGTGAAGTCCCGGTTCTGACACTTAAGTCCCACGATAGTCCCACGCATTTAATGCTTCATCAAATCGAATCTTCACTCATCTTTATGCGAAGGCGGCGAAGGCTCGAAAATCAGATCAAATCCCAAGTCTTGATGTGGGGGTCAAAATTAGGTCCCCCAATCAGTGGATTGTCATCCGGTCTTTAATTGTGACCCATACCCATATGTCATCATATGTCATGATAGAAGATTAGTGTGCTAGACTGTGCTAGAGTGCTTGTAGTTAAACATACCCTCCGGCAATTTAACAGTTCGCTATTGAAAATTATCATTTAGAAATAGTTGATCTACATTGTTTCTCCATGGTAATTTTCCAGTTCGCGAACGGTTAGTTTACCAGGGGGTAGATGGTCATGGGTCAAAACCCTGGTACCCTACACTATTTGATGGCTGGCTATATGGAGATTTCCATAAATGGAGGATACCCCCAAATGGGTGGTTTGTGGGAAATCCATCTATAAATGGATGATTCGGGGATACCCCCATGACTTAGAAAACCTCCATATGGATCCATAATAGCTGAAAACAAAGAGAAAACAAGGATTTCATAACATTCTAACTAGAGATTGAATAACATTTATAATAACCATTTATCCAGAAATGGTGATTACCATTGATTACCATCTTACCAGAAAATTGGTCATTACCATTGATAATTATGGTACTATATGGTTATAATAAATGGTAATGACCAATTTATCCAGCAGAAAATTCCGAAAATTCCGACCTCGTCATTGGTATCGCCCCGTCCCAGGCGTCCGAAATCCCCCTTGCCCGTGGCATAGAGATGGCCATCCTCCGTCAGCACCACGGTGTGTTGTGCCTTGGCCGAAAAAAAGAAACGATGGTTTTAATGGAGGATTCTACTGACTGATTTTAATGGATGTTCATGGATCTTCATGGATTTTCATGGATGTTGATGGATGTTAATGGATTTTCATGGCAAATTTGAGGATGTTAATATATTTTAAGGGCAAACCAGCAAAATTTGGATGATGAAAATCATCCAAATTGGTGATTCATGGTGGTTTCACCATGAAAAACGGTGAACATTGATGAGATAGTTAGATAGATAGATAGATAGATAGATATATATATATATATATATCATGTATTACATTACTGTATATACATATGTATAAAGTTTTATAAGCATAAAAAACGGAGGAAAAAACGGATTTATGTATCAAACATGGCTATTCAACCAGGACAAAATGAGGATTTTGCATGACATTTGAGCATGAAATACTGGAAATTGAGTTTAAGCCAAGGAAAAATGAAAGCAAATGAACTCACAAAAATTATGGAACATTGGGACCAAATCTGCTTTAGCAATCAACATAATAAGGGAATGGAACTTATTAACTATCAAACAAAGGGATGTAGCCTACAAGAATGTAATTCAAGCAACAAACATGGTGATCTACTAAAGAAGCAGGAGATTCTATCAACAAAGACGGGGATTGCATAGATGGTACCACCTGCCAATGGGATAGGCTTTGCTCCAGTTGAAGAAGCCTTTTTTAAAAGGGAACACCAGCTACAGGTTCGAATCGTTAGCCTTTGCATATATAACTAAGTTTGGTAAGGTTATATGGTAGCTGTATCATGTATCATTATCACGATGTATCTACATAGTCAAGTCGGTTCAAATTCAAAGCTAATACTAATCATTCATATATGTGCACATGCGCATGCTCGTGCTTGCTGGTCAAAAGACTTTGAGTATCTCATGCGGGCGTTTGGGGCTTGGCTGAAATCAAGAAACGAATATAGCAACTCCCAAAAAGATAGAAGCTGGAAACCTGGAAATTACACGGGAAACATCATATTTTTCCTCATGTGCAACATCCTGGAGACACTGGTTTCTATCTTTTTGAAGGTTGCTACAGCGCGAATAGACCATTTGGATCCATTTGGATCCTTCTGAGAATCCTTCTAGTCAAGGACTAGGACATCAAACACTGTCTGCTTCAATATCTTCAGAATCTCTACGAACCCGAGATGCCGAAAGACTGTTGCAGCCTGGATAATAAACCATCCATGACTGGGAATGGGAACAACCATACCACCTATTTTTTTTAAATGGTGATGACTGGGGGATGGTGCAATATGGCATTGTTTTACCCCCATTTATGCTGAGGATCTGGCCCCCAAGAACCTTTCCTGTAGACGTAGCGGCAGCTACCAAGAAAATCAATGGTACCCGGCCTGGTAAACATACAAAAAGCTATGGAAAATCACCATTGTCCATGGGAAAATTCACTATTTCTATGGTGATTTTCCATAGTTATGTTAAATTACCAGAGGATAAACAAAACGATCAACCAAATCCACCAGAAAGCGCCACGCGAGGAAGGGGCTCTGAGTCAGGAACCCCTTTTTTTTGTGTTCACATGATTTCACAGGAAGGAACAGAGTCGTCCAGCCAACCTTCTTCAGTCCCAATTCGACTGTCACAAATAGGGCCCCTCTCAACAGCACCAACCACCTCTGATTGGGGCGGGTGAAACTGGGGTCCCTCCCTGCTCGAAGCCAAGATCAACCTTGGGGAAAGGCGAAACGGCGAAACCGAAGGCGGGGAAAGCTCCAATGCTGGACTGGAATAGTGGACCCACTGGCTATAGTTCAGTGATTTGTTCGAGGTCATCTTCCAGTTGTTGGCCTCCTTCAAGGTTTTTGCACAAGATTCTGCGCCAGATTCAAACTCAGCGGAATGCAGATAGAACATGATAGAACCGTGTGAAGTACACGCTGTCCAATGCGGCTTGTGGTGGCCATCCACCACCACAGCCATGGATATGATGCGGCGTGGCAGCGGATGCACCTACTAAAAAGGCCACACGCTGTAGCACCTTTGAGCCCAAATATTCTCCGTGGACCGTGCTGTAGCTGGAGCACCGGTAAGATTCACCGCCAAGCAGCCCCACAAGTGACCATCCGGATCTTCATGTTTTCCCTGCGCCGGCACCCACCGACCCACCGATCCATGAAAATCTGCCATGTTGCATAAAACTGATGGCTGGCGGATAAAATTGAGACTTGGGAATATCACAAGTCATTGACTTGTAAAAGAAAGTCAAACAATGAAAACAAAACAAGAAAATCATCACCACTTTATCCAACAGTTCTCCCACTTTTTTCGGATCTTGTTCTCCATCTGCGCGGAGAAGCCACCCAGAGATCCCCATCAAAATGTCCATCTCCGAAAGATTGCACGACCGACTATGATCGACGTTGCAAAAAAAAAATGCATTGGTATTTATATCCCCAGCATAACTGATTGAACGCAAGATATGATGTTGTACTAAACTGTTATCCCGTCCCCCGAATATTACTTACAGCACCTACAGATCCTACAGTAAATGGTCCAAATGTGTAAATCCCCTACTCAACCATGGCTTCTGAAGGGCATGCTTTAGGGGGGATAACTCCTCGAATCCCAACCATTCCAGGACTTCGGTTGCAGGCTTCTCCCATGAATCCCCCAGGATGGGGCCCAATAGTTCGTTTAGTTTGTTTATAACTATATTGTATTGTAATAACAATAGTGTGTGCTACTTATAGTATCTTATAGTTATATTTAGATGGGGTTAGAAACCAACAAACATCTGCCTGGGGGGCACCATCCTGCCATCCAAGGTTTCCGTGGTGCCCTTTGAAAGTCGAGATTTCCGCCTGCGGAAGTGTTCCACGCAGCTGGGACGCAGCTGGGTCTCGCTGTGACCCAGGCCCAAGGCCCCAACGCCGTGGAAAAAACCACCACCCCAACCCCAGGTCCACAGAGATCCGTCCTCTAAAACCTCAGTGTTTTTGGCTTTTTGGGTTGGTGGTTGAACCGATTTTAATCGTTTAACCAACCGGGGAACAAAAAACAAGTTTTGTTAGAAATTTGTTGGGAGTTTTTCTGGAAACTACCCGTGGTCGTCAAAGACACCCGCGGGAGAAGTGGGTGAATCAATGGAGGGGTTTGCACAAGAGGTTGTGTTCTCGGGGAATGTGAGCTGGCTCTGAGTCAAACCGGTACCTGGTGAACAGGTTATCTCCGAAACAGCTGGGATTTATGGATGTTCATCCACACCAAATATGGCGAATAGGTCCTGATCCATGGCTAGGAAACCCATCTTCTCCATGTTCAAATGGGAGCCTCACAGGCTGGAGTTGTCCTTTTCTTTTGTGGTTAGAAACCTAGCTGGAACACCATGTTTTTTTGGGGGGGGTTGATGCATCAAGATTTTCGACGATATTTTTCAGGAGAAGTTTCTGCAGTAGACTTACTAGGAAATGGTGGCAAGGCCTGTGTGGTGCAGAATCCCTCCAATAATAATTGGGTTGGTCCAAGCGAGCAGTTTGCTGCATTTTTTCAGCGTGTTTTTTCCTGCATTTTTTGGGTTCTGGAAAGTGGCCCGTTACATGATTTAACGGTTAATTTAACCATTCAAATGGTGATTTTTCCATGGCGAACTGTTGAATGACCAGATGGTAAAGCGTAAACCCTATATTCTTCTCCGACGGGAAATTCATAGCCCAGAGGCGCATGCAGAGTGAAAAGCTCCCAGAGCTACCTGGGACATGCCAAGACATTGGTCAAGTTGGTACCCAAAATGGTGCAGTTATACCATACACATGCAAAATACGGATATACGTTGCATCTATATACAACCATACACAGATTCACAGAAAAAGTGATATAAATATGAATAATCATCATGTACATAAATATATATATATAAAGTTATATATATATAAAGTTATATATATATAGTTATATATATAATTATATATAATTATAATTAAATAAATTGATCGATCTTCATGGGCTGCCAACATCTGCCATCCAAAACTCGTCCAACTCCTTTTGCGCCCTTCGAATCGGCCTGCCGTACGTTCTCGAGACCCTCCACAGGGCTGGGGTCGGAGTCCTCGTGTCCCAGTTGGCTGTTCTTGTTGGAGCCATAGGTGAAAAGACCTGGCGCCAAACTGCCATCTTCAAAGCCCTCGAGTTGTGCAAATGATGTGGTTTTATCCCTTCCAAAGATGAAATGCCCAGTTTTTTTTAAAAAAATGGTGTTGCATCGAACTTTTCATATTTTTGGGCTATAGGCATTCAAGATATAGGGGAACTGGATTAGTTCCAATATGTCAATATCAACTGATACAGTGTATCAACAAACAAATCCATTCAAATGATTCAAATGGCTAATTACACTCATCACATACATGTTCTTCAGCAAACATTTTTCAGGGTTCCCACAGCCACATGGAACATCATGGAACCGCCCATGGAGATTGGATCTGCGGCGATCTTGCGGCATAGGAATGATGTTCGCAACATGCCCAAAACATGGCGGATGGCCACCTAAAACTAACATTTTATGGGCATGTTTCATGAAATTGTTCTCAATCACTTCGGTTTTTTTCGTTTTCACGGACAGGGATGTCGTGAAATGGACAACGAAAACTCCATCGTTTTTGGGATTGGCCTAGGATGGTACGAGGCAACCAGATCCCTCAACCCCTTGGAATTTGGGATATCTAGGCACCCATCAAACGAACCAGTCCATTGAGCTTTTGCGTTTCCCTAGTCGAAATCCAGCACCTCTGCTCACATCAAAATAGCTGGCAGGTGGATGCGTTCATCCGAAAAAAGAAACATTTTCTGGTGTCATTTATATCTATAGCCTTCAGCCGAGATAACTATCCCCAATCCCAATTTTTGGATTAAGGGAAAATAGCAGGAAACCATACAGGATGGTGCCCCCCAGGCAGATGTTTGTGGGTTTATAACCCCGTCGGAATATAACTATAAGTATCATACACTATTGTTATTATAGTTAGAAATGCCAACTTAGCTAACAATGGGGCCCCATTTTGTAGGAAACCCATAAGTGCCTGTATCATGCCCTATATAATGCGTATATCTATATATGCATATATATATATATATTTATATAGTGGCATTATAGAAGTACAAACCCCAGGTTTCTTGCCCCTTTCATCCAACGAAAAAAAAAAACAAAAAACGCTACCAAGATCTACCAAGCAGCGTCCGCCCGACACAAAGGCCGAATGGGAGGAGCCACAGGCTGCAGCGCTGACGCCCTTGATGTCCTCTACCCTGGGCATGCGAAGAAGGCGAAGAAATTGTAGATATGAATCATCATGAATCCCTCCTCCCTATTAAACATTCCCCTGAAACCATGGTTTAATGGGAGAATGAAGTACACATATTTGGCATCATTCAGAGGGGTTTAACTATGAGGCAGAATGTGAGGTACGGTAAACTGAATCTATCGAACCAAGGTATATCCAGTCCTAGCCTGTGATCCATGTCATGATGATGTGGATAAATTACAATAATTCATTGACCTGAAATAAGGTCACGCGCTTATATTTTGCCTTGGGGTTTCTTATCATTTCGTCTAATTTCAAGGGGAACTCATCACAGGGCTACAGGATATGTTGCGCCTACGCCTCATTTTTTCTTCCCGCTCATATGATGTCACAACAGCCGTCATCCGTAGTTCCACAAGCAGGTTGGCACGAGTCCGCAAGTAGTAACGCCAACCAAGCGAGAACGTGTACATTGGTCAAGACCCTGCCACCAACGGTCCATCACCGTAGCATCAACACACCCCATCCCCAACCCCATCTTGACCGTAGCATCAACAATGAGAGCAACTTTAATTGAACGTTAACATCCCACCCCACCCCACACCACACCATCCAAAAAAAAGTCCTATTCACAGCTAAACAAGAATATGCGCAAGATAAAGTTGAAGAAAAAATTAAAAAAAACTAGGAAATATATCAGAAAAAAGACACAAAAGCTCGAGGCTAATTATCAACGCGTCTCCTGAAATAAGGCCTATCTACCTGAAGAAAAAGATGCACGCCCATGACCCGCGGGCTATTTTGGGATACATACCCCAATCCAACCATCATTCTGGTGATGTCGTCAAGGCTTTTCAGGTAGATTCTGATCCCCAAAGTTAACCTGTTCTACCCCTCCCCTTTTTTCCGGGGTGGGTGCTGTACACGCGTGTAAGATATATATATATATGTATGTATGTATGTATGTATGTATGCATGTATGTATGCATGCATGTATGTATGTATGTGCATATGTATGTATATGTATGTATATGTATGTATATGTATGTATATGTATGTATATGTATGTATATGTATGTATATGTATGTATATGTATGTATATGAATGTATATGTATGTATATGTATGTATATGTATGTATATGTATGTATATGTATGTATATGTATGTATATGTATGTATATGTATGTATATGTATGTATATGTATGTATATGTCTGTATATGTATGTATATGTATGTATATGTATGTATATGTATGTATATGTATGTATATGTATGTATATGTATGGATATGTATGTATATGTATGTATATGTATGTATATGTATGTATATGTATGTATATGTATGTATATGTATGTATATGTATGTATATGTATGTATATGTATGTATATGTATGTATATGTATGTATGTGTATGTATATGTATGTATATGTATGTATGTACGTACATGTGTGTTTGTGTGCGCGTGAGAAATTGCAAGAATATGTAGGTATGGATAATTATTATGGATAATTATGGATCTTTATTGCACATGTGGAGTTACTGATATAAAAGATCTATATAGTTCCCTACGATTATAAATGACCCTTAATTACAGCGGCCAAGTGGAACATGACATTTGATGAGTAATTCTCAGCTACAATATCATATCCCAAAGCAAGAGCACGCGCCAGGTCACATTCTTTATGTCCAAGTTGGTGGAGAGCGGTTGCCTTTAAGTAGATTATCTTTCGCCCCCATGAAACCAAATAGTAAATAGATGACCATCAGGCAGCAATAGCGGTGGTTGGGCCTTGGAAGTGCCCACTAGTGCCAACAGCAATGTCAGAAAACAATCATCACAATCGATCATCGGGCACGATGAGAGTACCCTCTGGTAAACTAACATAACTATGGAAAATCACCATTTATAGTGGATTTACCCATTAAAAATAGTGATTTTCCATAGCTATGTTAGTTTACCAGAGGGTAGTGGCTGTGAATGGTGGAAAATGCCCTGGGAGCTCTGAACTCCCAGAACTGGGTTGAAAGTTGCCGCCGTCCGTAATTTTGTGACAACCAATGCCCAAAGTTTTCCAAGATCCTATGCAGTGGTACAGTAGGATAAGCACCTAAAAACCCATCATCCTGTGAGCCTTTGGAGGGTCTTGCCTGCCCTCTTTGCCATGAAGAACATTGCAAAACGGATGGCATTCTATAATCTTAAATCTCAGATTCAAACAAGCTGATTCTTGCCCGCCTACTTCCCCCCAACTTGTCTAAAGAATATCCTAAACTAATTCAGGATCAACAGCCCAAGATATCCCACTATGGTTGACAATGAAAATATTCGAAACCACCAAACAGCTTTCACTGTTTAATATCAAATCAGATATCCCCATGTCCCACGCCGTGCCCAATGGCGTGCTAAAACTCTCCACCGAGTTGCAGGGTAGGTTCCGTGGAGATTTCAGGAGCTTCGACCTCCGCTGCGCTGGCTGGCGATGGCAGACCTACGAAAAGAGGACATTCCCAAATATGTAAAGCATTGTAAAACATGTTTTTTGTAGCATTGCATTCCTTGAAGTTGGCCTTCAACTAGTTTCATCCGCAAAGACCATGTTTCATTCAATGAACCCTTCCAATTCAGTTTGCTTGTTTTTTTTCCGTCAGTCTCGGCCACACAAATTGGGATCAAATCTGCACAAGTTGGAATCTAGCCTATGCGACAATAATTACGGAAACCATCGCCACCAAAAATATGGGACGCATATAAGCGACCAAAACAGAAACCCAATGAGACCCAAACCAATGACAAGTTGGATACTCTGTGGGCGCACCTTGATATGTACAACCCAGGCTCCAAGTTTTTTTTTACATAGTTAGATATCTGGTAGTTTACAAATGGTTAATGAATGTGAATGACCTGAATGATCTTTGTTGGTGGTGAGGCATGGTTAACAAGTATATAATACAAAGGTCATTCACATTCACATTCATTAAACATTTGAATTCACATTTGATAGTGTGATTGTCGTTGATACCTTGTTATTGAAATTACGATCAATGTTGATGGTCGTCTACAAATGGTTGATCACCCAACATGAATGATCCCACATCCCAAGTTCTAAGCCCAGTTACACCATACGTATCTGGGTAAATATTCATAATTCACCAGCATGAAACCCTAAATATACCTAAATATCATTTGATTTGAGTTGATTTGATTTTTCCTGCTCCATGTCAGCCGCAGCTGCACGGTAGAGCCGCCGGCACAGAATTGATGTGCAGGCCGCAGCGTCCAGTTACGCATCTGTGTGCCCGCGGAGAAAAAAAATATATATATTATATAATATATATATATATAAATAATATATATATATATATATTCATATTTTCCGTTTTATCGTAGTGTCAGTTTACCAGAAGGTACACCATCAAATCCATCCAATCATCCCACATTCAGCAGCAGATTCGGAGCAGGCGCCTGTGTCAGCAGGCGCCCCTCAGTAGCTCCCCAACGCCAGAGCCGGGTGACCTCGGCACAACTGCGCGCGCTGCCGCGGCACAACGCAGCAACTCGGGGCACCTCGGAAGGGTCATCGGGGCTCCCTGGTGGCACCTCGTGGAATCCAAAAAACTCGTGACCTAAGAAAGTCTGGAAACCTGGAAATTACATGAAATTATGGAGGGAACATGAGGGAACATGAGAGAACATCATCTAGATTCATGGAAACACGCGAGTTGAAAGATCTTGTTGAGGACCACTGCTAGTCATGATGATTCCCCTTACTCCGGGTTGGTAGTCGTAGTGAAAATTCCCTTCGTGGTTGCTGGGATTGGTGCCAGCCACAACCAGCAGTCACCTATCGTTGGCAACAACACTCAGCAAGGAATTGCGGCCAAGACGGCGATTTCAACCGCAGAAAATGGGGACTTCAGCAATCTTTGGCAGATTTACCCTCTGGTAAACTAACAGTTCGCTATGGAAAATCACCCTCTTTAGGTAAATCAACTATTTCTGTGTGCCATGTTCAATAGCGAACCGTTAGTCATTACCAGAGGGTAAGCATGTTTGGGTATGGGTCAATACCTATAGATACATTTTTAGTGGGATGAACCATCCATTTACCAGCTATTTTGGGGTTCACTAGGTACCAGGGTTTTGACCCATATTGTTTCAGTGCCCAAGGGAAAATCGGAAACGAATGGAGTTGGCCCCGTTCCTCGTCCCCTGTCAGCGGACCGAGCCGCGAAACGCCTCATGCCGGATCTGGTAGTTCACCACTTGAGCAAACGGAAAATATCGAACAGGCCAAGTTGAAAGAATGGAAAAGTATGGAAAAGTGACTATGCCCTGATTTCGCAGGTTTTACTGGTCATTATATACTGATCTATTTTTTGGATCCACTGGTTTAAGCTTCACCTGGAAAGTCGAAGACGTTTGATACTCAGTATCCTCGGGTAATATCCCCAAGGTGGGTCCTCCACACGATAGCTATATAAAACCGTGAAATCTATGGTAGATATATCGTCAAAAGTGATCCTAAACCAAGCCCCAAAAAAAAACATGCCATAAACTATAACTGTTGACTATAGACATATATCTTACAATACATATATCTATATAGTCATATAGTTATGGTTGATGGTCAACTCATGTCAACTCATGTCAACTCATGTCAACTCATAACTGAGGGCGCCCACCTTGTACCAATTGCCAGTGCAGCCGGTGCCCTTTTTTCACCTCTCACGCATCTCGACAGCGGCTGTGCCCGACCTGCAGCTTGCTTGGGGCCCAGAATGCCCAGGATGCCCAGGATGACCAGGTAGCTCCCGGAAGACATAGCACACGGCCACCACCAGGAGGATTAAGATGGCAAGAAGCATCAACCATCCTGGGATTCGACACAAAAAAGGAACCCACCAGTGGTTGATAATTCAAAAATTCTGGTGTATACAAATGTGTAATATAAATAGATATATAATGATATATACATCTATGCAAAATGAAAAGATATACATAGTAAGAAAGAATAATAACATTGATTATATTACAAAATAACAATACATACAGTAATAACAACAATGACAATGGTGATGATAAACATGATAAAACATTACATTTGGATTTGGCGATTTAGGGGCCAAATGATTTTGCAATAACAAATTCAAAAGTAAAATCACGTATTTGCAAATCCTAACAAATCCTTTTTGCAGAGAATTCTCAGATGGCATAAGCCACCGCCGGGCAGCTGCTCCAAGACCCCAGAGCTTTGGAGTCATCTTGCGGTCCCCATCCAGTGTGCACCGGAAGCATCAGCGTAAATACAAGCTCCGGCACAAATTCTGGCAGGGAAACTCCCAACTTGACCATGATACTTTTGGTACCTATGGCTATGGCGTTGGTCCAAGTATGAAATACAACATGCGAATGTATGCGTATATATATATATATGTGTGTGTGTGTGTATACATATACATATATATATATACATACATATATGATTATGTATGTGTGTGTGTTTGCTTCAAAAAAGGGACCCAACAATTCATAAAAAATCACAAATCCAATACTAAACGCCATGGGGTAGGCCGCACCTCTGGGGAGGGCATTTGCATTCACTTCCAGCTTCAATTCCACCGCGTAGCCTTGGAATTGCACGAGGGCTAAAAGCGGCTAAAATTAAACAAACATAAGCAAACAACACATTGGACTTCTGGGTTCTGGTAGGTGAACCTAGCAATCTATAGCTTCATCACTAGAAAAAGCTCAAACTACCATCTGGTTAATTATTTAACATAGCCATGGAAAATCACCATTTTATAGCTAGGTAAGCCATCTATAAATGGGACATCTATACCATGGCGAACTGTTAGTCATAACCAGGTTGGGTAGTTCAAACTCAGCAGAACAAGTAGCTGTTGAAGCTGCTGATGTTTTGACTGAACTCTGGGTCCAGCTTCACCATCTCATAGGGCCGATTGAACAGCAGCTGACCGCCCGCTTCCAGCAGCCTCACTTTGAGGTAGTCTCCCATCTTGAAAATCTCGCCACGTTGCTCGCAACAAAGGTCCACCTTGGGGAAAATCCTCGGAACTTCCAAGCTTGGAGCGGAGAAAAGGACCCAATGGCTATAGTTCATGGAGCGTTTCAGGGTCATCGTCCACTGGTAGGCCTGTGCCAAAGCGTCGGCGCAAGCTTGGAAGTCCAAACTGGGATATCGCATGTTGAACTGAATGGCCGGAAGTTGTTGGCGCGAGTTGATCTGACCATCCGTAAGAAGGTAAAAATACATCTTCGCCTTCTTCGTGTTCGGCGGAATTACGTGGCTGTGCTCTCGTGGGCGCAACTGGAAAGGCAGCGGTACACATTGAATATCTACCACGTCTCCCTTCTGCATGGTCACGATATAATCCGCAATCAACGGAAGCCAAGGGGTTGTTGGAACCTCAATGTCTGAGGTGTTTCCATATTTCCGGTAGCTTAGCCAACCACAAAAGGGGGGCGTCGCATCATACCTGGTGCATGGTATCCATCACAAAAATATCAATGAGTGAACACTTGGAATACCCTCTGGTAAACTAACGTAGCTATAGAAAATCACCATTTTTAGTGGGTAAATCCACTATTTCTATGGCCATTTTCAATAGCGAACTGTTAGTCATTACCAGAGGGTAACCTTCCCATTTCTGGGTTAAACATCAAATACACAGAGTTTCACAGTTTTTTTTACCCCAGATGCAAGGTGATGTTTTGGAAGTCGCCTTCTGCCGCACGGCAATCCACGCGAAAGCTTAGAAGCTGTCCTTCCGCATCCCCAGCATCTGCATCTGCAACGGTGTTGCAGTGGTATGACAAGGCTATACCCGTGAAGGTACACGTAGAGCGAAGGGCCTTGCCTATTCGGTTTTTAAGCAATTCCACAGCTTCAAGCGACTTCCTGGCGCCAAGAAAAATGATGAATGTGGGGGTCTATTCCCTAGATCACGCCAACGAGTAAGATGCAGAATTTTTGATCAAAATGATGAATCATACTCAAAAGAAAATTGATGCCAAATGATGAACTTACCATAAATCCAAATCAATTTGATTTTGAAAGTACCAGCTTCAAATGAAGCTGCACGGACTCTGCCACACAGGCTGCTCTATAAATAAGCTCCGCTAGGATCAAGAGTGCAAAGTGCATGGAGCGCATGGCACCCATGCTGCGACCGGAACTTGAGCCTTAGACATGGCCGCTCAGAGATCAGGACTCAAAAAACAACGTTAGTGGAGGTTTCTTTGAATGGGGGATCCCCAAGCCACCATAGGTTGGTTTCAATAGGTTTCAATACTAAAATGCTATATGTATCTATATGTCTACCCTCTGGTAATTTAACGTAGCTATTGAAAATGACCATTAATAGTGGATTTACCCATTAAAAAATGGCGGATCTTTCACAATAGCTATGTTAAATTACCAGAGGGTAATTAGTCAGCCATGACTTGGTAAATTTGGGGCTCGCTGAAGCTCCCAGCGAAATAAGAGGCGAAAAACGAGGGACCGACGACATCACCAGACGGCCCTGGTAGAAGTTTTAAGATGCAAAGCGCACGCGCACCAATAGGCTGGCAGCATGCATCTCTTTGTATATATATATATGTTATATTACTATATATTTATATCATTTTATATCTTGTTTTGTGTGCGTTTGGTGGCGCATCCCAGATAGAAAGTGGACTATAACCCCAGTTATAAGTAGGATAAGTAGGGTTAATCCACCTATAATTGGGTTATATTGGGTTATAATCTATAACCCACTTACTAAGTGGGACGAGCCACCATGTATTTTTTATGGTTGATGGTTGATACTTGATGACTGTTTGCACCTTGGATGCCACTGTTTTCTTCGCACGACAGGAGGCATTCATGATGTTTCATGTGTTCAAAAAGAATTCTGCACCGCACTACTGGTTGGTGGTGGACAACAAAAGACGTTTGGATACGTTTGGAACCACCAGCCAGCATGACGTCTGACACGCATCTGGCACACATGCTAGCGAGTTTGTGCGGAGCTTCCGCAAAGACAAGCCCAGTGTGGAACTCATGAAGCTACAAGCGGAAAATAAAAACATCCAAGCATTTATTGATATCAATATATATATATATAATCATATTCATATATATATATACATATGTATATACATATATATATAATTAATGCCATATCATTTCATATCTGACTTCATTTTGAAGATAGATACCGATAAATCAACGGGTGTTTGTCACGGCAAGGGGGCTCTAGGCCCATCTCATCCATTTTTTCTAATCTAATCATCGTCTACAAACAGCGATGATGTCATACAGCAAAGACGTATAGACTAAAAATTGATATTCCTAGTGATTATTCCCTAAGGATCCATGTATGGAATATTTACCTACATTTGGATTATTTTAAATTACTTTAGGGGTCAATGTAGGTAAATATTCCATACATGGATCCTCTGGGATTGGTGATTATAGACTAAAACTCTCAAAAACTCATGTCCGCTCACACATTCGCAGCCATTCATTTCCCTCTTCAACTGGGATTGGCCATTGGTGCCCCGACTGGGTAGCAGGGTTGCGGCAGGGTGTGTTATCTGCACCGGAGTGAAGAGGACATCTACAGGAAACCATGCTTTTTATCTTTGAATATAGGGGGTTCCAATGTTCACATGATCCATAGACCAGGACTCAACCGGCGTTTGGCCAAGCAAAATAGAAAAACTTTACCAAGATGGTCAGATTTAATCAAGAGGATGGGATGTAGATACAGTAACCGTCCCAGATGGTGACATGGCGAAAATCGTAGAATTTTAGAAAAACAAACTAAACCAATCGCGGAAATAGTCACCCCATGCACGACCACATTGGATCCGATTGAAAGACATCCCCTTGCCCCTTTCAATGTTTCAACTTTAGATGGCACCATATTTTAGCCGTCCATTTCCATCGCCGCCATTTCCAGTGTTCATCAACGCCTGCCCAACCATCAAAGAGTTCAGATCACGCTTCGAAAAGCTCATTGTGCGGCACTTGTCGTGGCTGACAGATCGGAAATAAAATCACTACAGCATGGGAACGTCTCTTTCTACATGGCCCACGATACCCAGCCCCCAACCCTGCCAAAAAAAAGACGCACGTATAGATATACAATTGATATATATAAATGCGACTATTATGGTAATATACCCTCTGGTAATTTAACATAGCTATTGAAAATCACAATTTTTAATGGGAAAATCCACTATAAATGGTGATTTTCAATAGCTATGTTAAATTACCAGAGGGTATTATGGTAATATATATATATAATTTATATAGTTTCTTAGACCGCAAATAATTCGTGAATGCATCACCATTTATAGAAACGGTTGAAGATTAAAGCATTTGGATACTCATCCAGGGTTTCCCAGTGTCCCCATTGGACCCGCAAATATGATCAAATATGATCAAATATGATCAAATATGCACATCTATGTATGAGGCTGTCTGAAATCTCTATATCAATATCCGCAAAATCTTGCATCTGCTTCGCAATTAAGATGAAACAAGCACTAGCCGAGGTCTATGCACACCGTTAGAAAAGAAAATACCATGTTAAAGTTAAAGCATTTAAGTGTGGCAGCCTGGCAGCAACCTTAAAACACAGGTCCATATTATATGATGCTATATGTCCATCCCAGTCCATCCCCCCAAAAAAATGATGTCACAGATTGTGACCCGAGCATTTTTGTGAAAAGGCCAACCGTTGGTGGGTTACCTCAGGCACGGAGGCAGGATTTACGAGCATTCAGCCATCAAGGATCTACAGGAATCCCTGCTATTTGGCCAAAATCTTGGCAATGTGAAACTGGTTGGTGGTTTCAACCCCTCTGAAAAATATTAGTCAGTTGGGCTGATTATTTCCAATAATTATATGGAAAAAAAAATGTTCCAAACCACCAACCAGTGAGTTTTGTGAAAACATGCGAAATCGATTTTGGGGGAGAACCCCATCGATTTGTATGAGGGTCTCACGTCCTCTTAACCCTGCCAAATTTAGTTTGGCCACGATCATGACAAAGAATACCGAACACATCTTGGAAAATTTGAAGTCTGCGTTGGAGCAAACTCCCTGAAACCTATGGTTTAGTATTGGCAGGAACTGTCAATTTAGCACAAAACACGAGAATTTGCTCTCCACCCCTGCCAAAACAATGCATGCCATTTGGGGTCATAATCCCAAGTAGGGCTAGGGATGCAAACGTCCAACATCATTAAATCTGAAAACACTAACCAAATGAAGGGTGATAAAGGGGCCTTCCTCCACCGTGGTTTCAGGCATTTCTCTCGTTAGTCCAAACTGTCCCAAAGCTGGTCCATTGCCATCGTCATAGCAGGCAGGATTGGAAATAGAGGAATATTCAAAAGCACCAGCCATGTCATAGCAGTCCTGTATCCCAATCATTGCAAGTTCCCTATCGGCCAGAGTTCATCTTATTGAAACTCACATTAAGCCAGTTTCTGCAATAAACCCACAAATAAACCATCCACAGTTGAAGTGTACCAGTACCATTGGGTATAGCAGTCATTTTTCCCCGGGTAACCGGATGATTTTGGACGATGCTGGATGATGTTGGATGACCCCCAAGTGTTTGGTGAAATTTCCGGAATTTATCACAGTACATGCCTCGGATCTTGATCTCGTACGGATCAATCCGATCAAGGGGCACCGGCCGTTGAACGGCTAAGGCCTGTTCGATCTATCTGCCACATCCTTCGCATCCGACATGCACCCCAAGGAGGCCGGGCCCAACGGCTATAAAAGCTTATGATTTTTACCTGTCGTTTCTATGCGTTTCAAGTGTTTACCAGCAGTACCGCATAAGGCGATGGTGGAAGTTTCAAAGATAGGAAAGTATAGGAGCAGTGAGTTGTTGTGATGCATGGATGGCAGAACGACTCCACTGATGGACCGAAAGGTGGTTGGAGTTGTGTTTCTTGAGGTGGTTGCAATGGTCACATCACCCACAACAACTGGATGTAGTGTGGTGTAGTGTAGTTGTAGTGTTTTGCAGTGTGCTTGTAGTCGTAGTTGTAGTTGCACATGTAGTTGTAGTGTAATGTACGGGTAGTTGTAGCTGTAGTTGTAGTGTGGTGTAGCGTAATGGCATTTGCAGCTGTAGGAGTTGCAGTAGTTGTTGTATTTGTGGCAGTTGCAGTTGCAGTTGTAGTCCCGGTGTAGTGTAGCGTGGTGCAATTGAACGTAAAAAAAGTGGTCCGAACATGTGGTGTTTTTACCATTTTGACTTCAAAACGCGCTTTGCGCCACAACGGCGACCAAAAATTGTCCTAGACTTTCAGTTTTTGCACGTTTTGACTTCGAAATGTGCTTCGCGCCGCAACGGCCCACAATTTTTCATCTCATCTGACCTGATGGCTCTGCACCTGCCGCTTTAGCGAGCCTACTTTTCAACCCTCCGGAGCCACAAAACATTGGCAAAACGCGGTGTTTCGCTACTTTTCTACCTTTCGCGCACTTTGATCTTCTTTCTTCTTCCTTTCTCTTCTCTGACTCTTCCCACCTCTGCTTTTTCATCTGTCCGTATTGTCGGAAGTTTACTGTAACTTCTAAACTTCCTTCAATAAGATTATATTTAATGATATTTACAGTTATGGGTCAATGAAGGTATTCTGCTATTTTTGTCTGATACAGCGGGTACAGAACCGTAGAGATTAATCCCTTCCGCAATATTGAATACGCGCCATAATGGGCCCCAAATAAAGAGATCCGGTGAAGATGCTAAAAGCTGGAAGCAAAGGGAATGAATGGCTGCAGCACTCACAGCATATGGCTGATATGTCCTTCATCTCTTGCTGCTTTTAAGTGGGGTGTCCTAGCCACACTGAATGCTCTTCTCTTGCTCGAGATCATGGACAAACCGTCAGTCATATGGTTCACCGCCTTGTCAGGCCCGACCAGAATTACTAGGTTGCAGATCTTGAGCCGAAGGAATGGTGCCCCACCTTTTTCGGTCAAAACCGAGGAGTCAGACCCCCACACACATATTCCTTTCGCTGTGCATTTGGGATTCCAAGAGGTTTATTTTTGGGGTCGGCTCGTTCAGTGGCGCACCAGGTACCTTTTGGAGATGAATTGGCGGCCCCACATGTCTTTGACATGGGGCATTGATATGGGGCAGCAAAAATATGGCTCCCAGACCCATCCCCTCGTTGCAAAAAACGCACGGGAGTGGGATTCTAGGCCTCCCGCCCTTGGTTTGGACCCGGGAATCCTTCATATCTTTTGGCATTAACCACTGTCAAACCACTAAAGAGATGTGTCTAGCCCAGAACTTCTCTTATGCCCACTTTTATCTGGGTCGGTCGGCAAAAGATTATATGTGCCATGGTCAACACACAGTATATGAGGTATGGTCATCTATCCCATACTCATACTGGGAATCCAAACGCAATGCGATATGTGTGTGTACATATGTTTTTGTGTGTATATGTATACGGTATATAGAGGCCCCTTATAGGAGTATAAACTTATAAACATTCGGAGGGAAAAAAAGAAAACCATGATTTGACCACGGCAAATAAATATATATATATATATATAAGGGACCAAACTAACCGTCCAAGGTTTTCAAGGAATATACCGTAGATATTTTTCCATACTGAACTGTGAAAAATCACGGTGGTCATTTACCAAAAAATGATGTGATCGGTTGGTTCACCAAAACTGGGTCCCTGATTCCCGGCTCACTCTAGGCATCTCAGGTGCAGCGGTCCTAGCTACGGATTTGCCGAGGACGAAGGACCTCAGAATCTCGACGCGACGGAGGTTGCGTTGCGGTTGCAATTTTTGGGACTTGACCACCCAGCAGTGGCAACAATTTCATGTCTAAGGGGCCAGGGGTGTCTGATATCATATAATTTTTATATATCATTTTCATCTGTCTCCCTGAAGATTCCACTAGTGTGTGAAGTTTGTCTTAATGTCTTAATGTCTTGAAGATCATATCTTCAATGCCTTTTCCTTGCAGCAAAACACAAACTTCAGCGGACATTCACCTAGTCGGTTTCTGGCTATGTCTGTGTGATGGTTGAAATGAGACATGATCCATCAATCGAATGACGTCCCTTGTGCAAAAGGACTTTTTTTTGAATGAGGACAACAAAAAATTGCCAGACAAATTCAGATGGATAATGCGCACCAGTTGTAGGTGGACTAATGTGGACTATGAACCACTCATTTGCAGCTTCTCTATCTTTTGGGCGGTTCAGTTTTGGACAGGGATCCTTGACATCCGAGATGGGATGATTCCTCCACTGACCCAGAAGAAATACATGTTTTCTCGTTGGTTCCATCCCATTGTTCACTGGCATATATATATATATATATTTGTATCTGTGTATGTATATATATGTGTGTGTGTGAGTGTGTGTGTGTATGTATGTATGCGTGTGTTTCTAAGTGTGTGTGCCAGTGTGTGTGTGTGACATACATATATTATGTACGACATTATAGTACATTATATATACATATATATATATAATTATATATATATATGTATAATATCTGTGTGAGAGTTTGTCTGAAAATAACCTCAAATCAAGTGGTTTCTCATCATGTTCCCTATGACATGGCCAAAACTATGATCTAATTGGTGTATACCTCAGAGAAACCATGAGAAAGCCATATTGTGGATGGGCCAGCGAACTCCGATAAACCACCTAAAAATGGTAGAAAACCATCCCAAATCATGGGATCAACAATGGGATAAACCACATTAAACCACCTATTACCTGGTGGATTTCGCTGGCGCCACGTCACCGCGGCACCTCAAAGGCCGCGAAGTTCCTGCGGCACCAGCGGCATGAAGAGCTCCTCCGAAATCCGGCGGCTCACCTGCTCCATCCGCGAAAAGCCCGGAGGGGATCCCTGTGGATGACTGCGAAATGTTGAGAAATCCCATGGAAATCCCATGTTGATTTGAATGGTTTGATGAATGGTTGATGAATGGTTGGTGAATGGTTGATGAATGGTTGGTGAATGGTTGATGAATGGTTGGTGAATGGTTGGTGAATGGTTGGTGAATGGTTGGTGAATGGTTGGTGAATGGTTGGTGAATGGTTGATGAATGGTTGGTGAATGGTTGATGAATGGTTGGTTGGTGAATGGTTGGTGAATGGTTGGTGAATGGTTGGTGAATGGTTGATGAATGGTTGGTGAATGGTTGATGAATGGTTGGTGAATGGTTGGTGAATGGTTGGTGAACGGTTGATGAATGGTTGGTGAATGGTTGATGAATGGTTGGTGAATGGTTGGTGAATGGTTGGTGAATGGTTGATGAATGGTTGGTGAATGGTTGATGAATGGTTGGTGAATGGTTGGTGAATGGTTGGTGAATGGTTGATGAATGGTTGGTGAATGGTTGATGAATGGTTGGTGAATGGTTGATGAATGGTTGGTGAATGGTTGGTGAATGGTTGGTGAATGGTTGATGAATGGTTGGTGAATGGTTGATGAATGGTTGGTGAATGGTTGGTGAATGGTTGGTGAATGGTTGATGAATGGTTGGTGAATGGTTGGTGAATGGTTGGTGAATGGTTGATGAATGGTTGGTGAATGGTTGATGAATGGTTGGTGAATGGTTGGTGAATGGTTGGTGAATGGTTGATGAATGGTTGGTGAATGGTTGATGAATGGTTGATGAATGGTTGGTGAATGGTTGATGAATGGTTGGTGAATGGTTGATGAATGGTTGGTGAATGGTTGGCGAATGGTTGGTGAATGGTTGGTGAATAGTTGGTGAATGGTTGATGAATGGTTGACATATCTTGAAGTCCGAAAAAATAGATCATCGGATGAACCTATCAACTGGTGGAGTTCGCTGGCCCATCCACTGTATGTTCAGGTCTGAACCTCGATGGTTAAAATGATTTTTTTGCCGGGGCTTAAAATGATCAACGCAAAAATATATCACCAAAAAAAGGCGTCCAGCATCGTGACAGGGTAGTTCAAGACAACTCGAAACAGTGTGCAATTTTTACGGAAAATGTCAGATATTCGTCGCCATCCAGCTCAAAAAACATTTTGTGCCTAAGAAAAAAGGTGCGTCACTGGACCCACAAATGGCTTGGCATGTTACACATATAGCCATCCATTTTTAGCCATCCATTTTTGGAGATGTATAATTTTGAACCAGCCAGTCCCATGAGTGACATACTCTTCATAGAAATCTAGATCCCCATATGATCATATACCCTCTGGTAAACTAACAGTTTGCTATTGAAAATGGCAATTGAAATAGTTGATTTACCCAGTAAAATGGTGATTTCCATAGTTATGTTATGTTATGTTAGTTTACCAAAGGGTAGTATCCCAATTCTTGTGTCATGTAAGATTGCCCAAAAGTAAAGCATACCCTCCCTCCGACATAGACCCTTCATGTATCATGAGTTGAGGGTTGGAGGACTACTTGCAACGTGGGATGAGAGGTGATCCGGGTGTTGGGAAGATGAACCCACCAACAAAAGGTGATGAACGTTGTCGTCTCAACCACTGCACTGGCAAGCAAACCCCAACAAGACTTGCGTTGATCATGGATAAATCCACCACTTGTTGGCTCATCCCAGTAAGTGGATTATAACCCCAGTTTAACCCTTATATGTGGGGTTTTGTGTGGGGTTTGTCCACCTGTAATCAGGCTTATTACCCACTTACTAAGTGGGATGAGCGACCATGTACTATTCTGGCATAGAGTTGCCACCCAATCTCTCGGACCTGCTCACAGCGGGTGAAGGTCATATTGGCGATGTTTTCAAATGCAACGTCGAAGTCGATCTGATTTTCAGAGATCCGTGACCAGAACACGGGGGCAGTTCACCATCAAAAATGCGAATGGGGATTGGGATTTTAACAATTGAATCGACAATTGATTGGGGATTCAAGATTCCTCAATTTATTTGGGGTTTGACTCATTTCAAATCGGTGGGTTTGGTTCGTGTTTTGCATTGTTAAAATCTGGACTAGCGAGACGCGAGACGTGAGCACCTTTAAACCATAAAGATCCAACAGGCATACCGGTACCGAGTCATAGAAAAATTGGATGAGTTCAACATTGTTCAACCACAAGACTGGGATGATATCAATGCGACTGGTATATTTGCCCAATGAAAGGGTATGTGTATATATATATATATATAATAGTCTAGGCGTAAGTGGAGGGAAAGAAACCATGCATGGAGATAGGTCGGGATGGAAAAGTCGGTGACTTTTGCGTTCTACGACATGCCAGTTTGAGTTTGATTGGAGACTCCACGGCCAATCGTGGATTCGGAAAAAAAAAAACGTCGCTCGTTGGTATAGTTTTTTTCATTAACAGCAAGAGATTAGAGCAACAAACTATCCTTCTACGGTCTACCCAGTTACCAAACCAGTTATGCCGCTTGCGGGTTTGGACCATTGTGCAAGGAACGCTCCGGCAGCCGGCGGCATTGTCTTTCTTAAGAATTACCCTCTGGTAAATAAACATAGACCCTGCCAGATAGGGGTTGGAAGACTAGTTTCCATTAAAAATTTGTGATGTTCAGGGTCTATGTTTATTTACCAGAGGGTAATGCCTTCAGCGGAAAATCGACAAGTGCAGTAAGTAAAACTGATCAGATAATAATCACTATCTCCACCATCATCATCACCATCATCAGCATCATCATCAGCAACATAATCAGCACCATCGTCACCATCATCATCGTCACCATCATCATCATCATCATAATCACCAGCAGCGCATCAGTAGCAACATCGTCAGCATCAACATCATTAGTGTAGTCACAATATATAATGATGATTATGATGATTATGATGATTATGATGATTATGATGATTATGATGATTATGGTGGTGATGATGATGATGATGATCGTGCAGTTGTAGTTCATCATTATACTATACAAATCTTAGCACGGTCAAAACGCAGAACGCAAAACACGTGTTCCGGAACGCGCGTTCCGAACGCAGGGGTGGTTATAGAGATTTTTGGCTCCAGAAGCCTCCCAATCCCTGTTTTGCTCCTTGCAAAAAGGATCCGCTGTGTCACATAGAATTTTCAACAATTGTTCAAATTCTTCTTAGACCTCTGTTACTAGCACTACGATAAAATTTGTGAGAGGTCCCAGGGCCGCGAATCGAAACCTAACTTGCCCTACAAGACTGGTCAGGCCAGAACCTTTTGCTTCACCCAAAAAAGGATCCGGAGTTGGGAAGATCAACTTCATTTTGAGCCCATAAGAGCTCTCAAAATCCTTTTTTATTTGGGGGGAAAAAGGTTTCAGTGTCCAGGACCAAGACATACATTAACTTTGGATTATTGGAAAAGGATCCACTCAGAACGCGCGTTCCGGAACGCGAGTTTTCAAAACGCGCGTTCCGAACGGCAAACCGTACCGAAGGAACATGCTAAGATACAAATATGGATGTAGACCATAAATAGCAACCCACAAAAAGATGCCAAAAAAATCCAAAACCTGGAATGTTAATGGTGTAGAAAACATCATCAAACCACCATCTTGGTGTCACACGTTTCTATCATGCTGGGGATTACTATGATAGTATTGTTCAAACAAAATTGAAAAGTGATCATAAAATATCATACTACAGTACTGTTCCAAAAAAAAATGTTTAAACAATGAAAAGTATGACTTTGACTTATGCTCAAATTAAGTATGACTAATTCTTTAAGTATGACCAAAACTCATGTTCAAAATCGGTCTATCTTTTACTGTGACTTCACAGCTCAGCCCGGAACCGGGCCTCCAGCTGTGCCAAGGCCTGCTTCACTTCATGTTCTCGCCCGGCCTGCGGCGGGGGCGCCCTGGCGGTTGGATTCCCACAGCCGTTTTATTCAAATGGTTGGAAGTTGAGGAATTGGTTTTGGGTAGGTTTGTTGATCGAATTTGTTTGGATCTTTTTTATGATCATCTCCCGTTCATAGACGACTCTCCCATTTAGTTCGGTGACTATCCCGAAGACTTTTCCACCCAAGTTGGTCTTCCAGCCACCTTGAATTGCCACTTGGATGTGCATCCCAGTAATTAAATGGTTAGTAACCACAATACACCATAGTTAGAGGGCACACCCCAGTTGGATGAGTAGGTTTTCCCCAGTTCCTATTAAATGGTATGCACCAGCAGAGGCTATAGGGGTCCCAAAATAGAAGAAAAGTGTTTGCAGGATCTTCCAGGCTATGTTTCTTCCATAATTTACAAGTGCCCAACTTTTCTATACCACTCCATCTAAGACTATGACTGGAGGTTGCTCTACATTATACACATTCACGTGTCCAACTCTTTTATTGTATAATGAATATATATATATATGGCTATGGCATCACTATTTTTATTCTTATCATTTTCATTGTTTAAAGGTTGTGTTGATATTCTCGCTGTTGTTTGCTCAAGGGGCTTCAAAGTAAAATATTCCCATAGGTTCCCGTTTCTGGTAGATGTTCCAACTTTTCTATCTATGATAGGGGTTTGTATATATATATATATAGATATATAGCAGTAACATCCATGTGTGTGTTGAATCATGATAGATGTTCTGTGTCCACATTTTAAATTTATACATTATAGCAATCCCTTTGTATAGTATCGTGATATATCATTGATTTGAATTACAATCGCTGTACATCAAATAGAAGCATATACATATACACCTATACATAATCTAGAATAATATCATTGCAAAGAGTTTTTGTAAATTATTCGCAATATGATTATTGTTTACTTTAAACTTTAAACGTAAAAAATCGTAAAAATGGAAATGATGAAAAACAACCACCCCAAAAAACTAAAACAGGTAAACAGCACCGCAACCGACCCGGGGCAATGGCAGCGGACTGTTTTGACATCTTGAGCCAAAGATACATATGACACTATGACAATGACCCTAGGAGGGGAAGGATGTCTCTACATGATGAAAGTTAAGGTATAGTTTACCCCTTATCTTTCAAGTCCCCCTCTTCCTAAGCTGTGCAGGGTCATGCCCAGAGCTACCTAACGGAGGGGTGCGCATTCTTATCTGACGGATGTCTCACAGCTCAGATGAATTCCAGGCAAGAGATGGGAGGAATCATTAGGAGCTCCCATCATGCCTGGAAATTCCATGCACAACTGCGCCATGCAGGTTTAATTACCGATGCTTGAATTTCAACCAGATGCAGGTGGAGAAGCGCCTCCGCAGCTAATTTTAAACTCCGGAGCTCGGCGGAAGACGGTAGAAAAGACAGTGCAAGTCCAAAAGATTTTGCGCATGGAGTTTCATCGCAGCCACAACTGTGCGCGTAGAGGCTTGCAACGAATTGAATTTCAACTTCGGTCGTTGGGAGTCAATCCAAGGAAATGACAAAGCAAAATCCAAAGGATACAACACAGATGGGACTTAGTCACATCCATGATGGGCGACAGGTTCGAAAGATCTTTCTGTGCGCTTAGCGACTTGCAACGAACTGAATTTCAACTTCGGACGTTGGTGATAAATCCAAGGAAAGCGACTCAGCAAAATTCCATTGGATTGGACATAGATAGAACTTAGTTATATCCATGGTGATTGACTGACGGGTTTGAAAGCTTTCAGAGCGTCACCTTTTTTTTGACTCGCGCAATGCTTTCCGTGTAACCTTTCGGAAAACATGACAGCGGCACACAAGCTAAGTATCCTGGCAGTAAGGGTTTACTAATTGACCCCATTTACTTCGATCCTGCCAAAATGGAGAAATTTGTCTGAATTGTTTGGTGTTGTCAAACCAGGTAGGCAGATGGGAGCCTTGGTAGCTTTTATGGAGGTCCAAGGTGGCTGTTCGATACCCAGGGTGGTGAATTTCATAAGGACGCGGATGTTGGTTCATAGTTACAAGATGTACCCGGTGGTACGCTTCAGTGAATGCCAGTTCATACCAGTGGGCTCTGGGAGCTCCACGTCTGTAAGGAGAAGATAATCGCAAGAATGAATGGGATGGGCCAAATATCATGGCATGTTCAAGTGAGTAAGGGTGGCGCATGATATGTCCCAAATATTGCAGGCGTTTTTGAGAAATAATTTGCGAGGGAGTAAAAGCTGATAGGGGAGAAATGCAGCTGCTTTGCGTGCTAGAAAAGCATTGGAACAACTATCTGAAGAGGGGGCAAGAACCCGGTGATAGTACGAACTTTTGACGCCAAATATTTGACGCAGAACCTTGAAGTGCAGCGCGCTGAATCTCTGGAGCTGGGCTGGAGTGTATGTTTGTGACTCAGAACCGTACAGCAATATTGCCAGAACAATCTGGTTATGTAGTTGCAGTCGCCTTTTAACGGTGATGGATTTGTTGGAGAAAAGTGGGAAGAGGGATCGGAAAGCTGACGAGGCCTGGCTGAAACGGCGCAGGCAGTCAGGAGAAGAGGAAGCCGAGGCATCAAGAACAATGCCAAGGTAGGTAGGATGGTCCACCACCTGGCAAGGATGGGGCAATGGATCAATGCCCCCACAATGTTGACACTGACAAGGACGCGACGGGGTGAAAGTAGTAGAAAGCGAGACATCATGGTCCGTATGCAACCGAAGGAGTTGGCATTTATCAGGGTTGAGGAGCAGGCCCCGCTTGGAAGCCTGGAACTGGAGGATATGAAGCAGGCGGTGGATGGTGGTGTGACTGCGAGACATGAGAGCTGTGTCATCTGCGAATTCAAGATGCAGCAGAGGGTGCACAGCTGAGTGGACCCAGGGGGTATAACCACAAGAATTTTGGAGATTTGCTAATTTGGGTGGATTTGCTCTTGAATCTTCATCTTATTGGTTTGGACTTCTTGGGTCAGGAGCTGCAAACTGGAAGGACTGGTACAAATTTTCAGCCACATTGACCAATGCGAGCGCAAGCTTGTTTGTAAACATCCTGGGCCAACTGTTCCAAACCCTGAGCTCTATCTTCTGATTCCTGAACCATCTTACGAGCTTCAGACAACATGTTGGCGAAAACCATGGGATCAATTCCAACATTAACTTGCTGGGGCCTCATATCATGATATCCAATGGTGTTCTGAACCGAAGAGTACGGACCATTTGCTGGATTCCCCGTGGGCAACTGTGACGACTGCGAAGCCGGACTAGGTGCACGAGACGTGGAAACAACTGCAACACTCTTGCCAAGTTCAGATGGTTTTGGCAAGCTCTTGGTAACCTGAGAAATGCCGCGCCTTCCTGAGCTCTTACCACGGGGCCGTTTTCACCCGACGGGAACCTCGAGGAGTATTGGATCACGATTGGCTTTCTGAACGTTGTGACATTGCATCACCAACCATAGCTTCAACCGACTCTGTACTCAAGTTCAAGCTCGATGGATCACTACTGGAATTCATCTGATTGGAAGTTGATATCAGAAACACAATCCAAAAACTCAAGAAGCGATACTGCTCACAGCGGCGCCAAAAATGCAGCCGATCAGTGGGAGGCTCAAGAGCCAAATTGGGCTGTGCAAAGATCGATGGATCGGATGTTGCAGTCTTCGCTGCTTGCAACCGCTGCAGCGCAGAGCACTTCGCCAGGAAACAAATGCAAATTCAAACCAAAAAACGCCGCAGTGAAACTCAGCAGTGACAGGACAAAGCTGTGAAACCTGAGGCTATCTGAAAATCGTGAACGCTTGCGCTGAAACTATGCAGTGAAACACGCATAGCAATCGTCCACCTGTCCTTGAAAATGCGGTGAAACCCAGTAGCGAAACACAACCACAGCTGGAGCTCATCTTGGCTTGACGAAAATTTGACACTCGGCAAGTGCAGTGAAACTTGATGACGCGTCACTGCAACTCAAGTGCTCAGAATCACTCTCGGTTGAAATTGGGAATCAACAAAATGATTTGACAATGCAATGGATGATACAGCGGAGATCACGATACTGGCTGGAGAAGCGCCGCAGCAGCTTATAACCAGAGGTTTTTAAGACCTACCGATCGTTCTACAGATAGGTGATAGGACTTGATGAAGTCAACCACGTGTAGATCTGACGCGCTCCAGGCCAACCGTTCCCACGGAACGAAAAGCCCCACAGATGGTTTTCCGATTTGAATGAATGCAGCATCCCTTCTTTCGAAAATTCTTGCCCGATCAGCCTGTTGTGGTCTAGCAACAAAAAACAGCCTCCAGATGCAAGGGCTTTCAGCGCAGCCAGCTTGCCCGATATGCCGACTCACCCAGTTGTAACTGCAATCAAATCGAAAGATGTCTGAGAGGTTTCCACAGTGTTCAACAAGTTTCGAAGATTGTCCTGAGAATTGTAAATGTGTAAAATCAACACAATCTTGACCTTTCCTGTAAAATGCTGAGCTGCCGAAGCTCCTGGATCGTCTGTCAAAGTCGAGGCAAAAACAAGAAATTGACAACGTCCATGCCGTGGTTTTACAATACCACCAAACGTCGAGAGTGAAAAGGATGGATTTGAGGGGTTAAACAGAGAACAAACTACGGCTGATTACCAATTGAAATGATGAAAAACAACCACCCCAAAAAACTAAAACAGGCAAACAGCACCGCAACCGACCCGGGGCAATGGCAGCGGACTGTTTTGACATCTTGAGCCAAAGATACATATGACACTATGACAATGACCCTAGGAGGGGAAGGAAGTCTCCACATGATGAAAGTTGAGGTATAGTTTACCCCTTATCTTTCAAGTATATATCTGGTTGGTGGTTTCAACCCCTCTGAAAAATATGAAAGTCAGTTGGGATTATTATTCCCAACTGAATGGAAAAATAAAATTCATGCTCCAAACCACCAACCAACCAACCAAATATATTTACATATATATATATCCGCCGACCCCAGCCATCTGCAGGGGGAGCGCGCCCGAGAAAAAGTGGCTTCGCGGCACCTTTTCTTCTGGTTTCAGAAAGCGACGTTAGGTAGTAGGCTGCCGTTAAACGCTTCCCGGCGCCCTCGGCCGCCCTTAAACCTTGCCCTTATACCCTGCCCTTTAACCCTTCCCGGCGTCCTTGGCGGCCCAGCAGCATGTCCTTTGGCCACCTGCCGGGCGCTTTTCTGGAGATTTTCTTCTGGTTTCAGAAAGCAACGTTAGGCAGTAGGCTGCCCTTAAACCCTCCCCGGCGCCCTGAGCTGCCTTTAAACCCTTCATGGCGCCCTTGGCAGCCAAGCAGCATGTCCTTTCGCCACCTGCCGGGCGCTTTCCTGGAGATTTTCTTCTGGTTTCAGAAAGCAACGTTAGGCAGTAGGCTGCCCTTAAACCCTCCCCGGCGCCCTGAGCTGCCTTTAAACCCTTCATGGCGCCCTTCGCGGCCTAGCAGCATGTCCTTTGGCCACCTGCCGGGCGCTTTCCTGGAGATTTTCTTCTGGTTTCAGAAAGCAACGTTAGGCAGTAGGCTGCCCTTAAACCCTCCCCGGCGCCCTGAGCTGCCTTTAAACCCTTCATGGCGCCCTTGGCGGCCTAGCAGCATGTCCTTTGGCCACCTGCCGGGCGCTTTCCTGGAGATTTCTTCTCGTTTCAGAAAGCAGCGTTAGGCAGTAGGCTGCCCTTAAACCCTCCCCGGCGCCCTGAGCTGCCTTTAAACCCTTCATGGCGCCCTTGGCGGCCTAGCAGCATGTCCTTTGGCCACCTGCCGGGCGCTTTCCTGGAGATTTTCTTCTGGTTTCAGAAAGCAACGCTAGGCAGTAGGCTGCCCTTAAACCCCCCCCGGCGCCCTGAGCTGCCTCTAAACCCTTCATGGCGCCCTTGGCGGCCTAGCAGCATGTCCTTTGGCCACCTGCCGGGCGCTTTCCTGGAGATTTTCTTCTGGTTTCAGAAAGCAACGTTGGGCAGTAGGCTGCCCTTAAACCCTCCCCGGCGCCCTGAGCTGCCTTTAAACCCTTCGCCCTTGGCGGCCTAGCAGCAGTCCTTTGGCCACCTGCCGGGCGCTTTCCTGGAGATTTTCTTCTGGTTTCAGAAAGCAACGTTAGGCAGTAGGCTGCCCTTAAACCCTCCCCGGCGCCCTGAGCTGCCTTTAAACCCTTCATGGCGCCCTTGGCGGCCTAGCAGCATGTCCTTTGGCCACCTGCCGGGCGCTTTCCTGGAGATTTTCTTCTGGTTTCAGAAAGCAACGTTAGGCAGTAGGCTGCCCTTAAACCTCCCCGGCGCCCTGAGCTGCCTTTAAACCCTTCATGGCGCCCTTGGCAGCCAAGCAGCATGTCCTTTGGCCACCTGCCGGGCGCTTTCCTGGAGATTTTCTTCTGGTTTCAGAAAGCAACGTTAGGCAGTAGGCTGCCCTTAAACCCTCCCCGGCGCCCTGAGCTGCCTTTAAACCCTTCATGGCGTCTTGGCGGCCTAGCAGCATGTCCTTTGGCCACCTGCCGGGCGCTTTCCTGGAGATTTTCTTCTGGTTTCAGAAAGCAACGTTAGGCAGTAGGCTGCCCTTAAACCCCCCCCGGCGCCCTGAGCTGCCTCTAAACCCTTCATGGCGCCCTTGGCGGCCTAGCAGCATGTCCTTTGGCCACCTGCCGGGCGCTTTCCTGGAGATTTTCTTCTGGTTTCAGAAAGCAACGTTAGGCAGTAGGCTGCCCTTAAACCCCCCCGGCGCCCTGAGCTGCCTCTAAACCCTTCATGGCGCCCTGGGCGGCCTAGCAGCATGTCCTTTGGCCACCTGCCGGGCGCTTTCCTGGCGATTTTCTTCTGGTTTCAGAAAGCAACGTTAGGCAGTAGGCTGCCCTTAAACCCCCCCCGGCGCCCTGAGCTGCCTCTAAACCCTTCATGGCGCCCTTGGCGGCCTAGCAGCATGTCCTTTGGGCACCTGCCGGGCGCTTTCCTGGAGATTTTCTTCTGGTTTCAGAAAGCAACGTTAGGCAGTAGGCTGGCCTTAAACCTTCTCCGGCGCCCTGAGCTGCCTCTAAACCCTTCATGGCGCCCTTGGCGGCCTAGCAGCATGTTCTTTGGCCACCTGCCGGGCGCTTTCCTGGAGATTTTCTTCTGGTTTCAGAAAGCAACGTTAGGCAGTAGGCTGCCCTTAAACCCCCCCCGACGCTCTGAGCTGCCTTTAAACCCTTCATGGCGCCCTTGGCAGCCAAGCAGCATGTCCTTTGGCCACCTGCCGGGCGCTTTCCTGGCGATTTTCTTCTGGTTTCAGAAAGCAACGTTAGGCAGTAGGCTGCCCTTAAACCCTCCCCGGCGCCCTGAGCTGCCTTTAGACCCTTCATGGCGCCCTTGGCAGCCAAGCAGCATGTCCTTTGGCCACCTGCCGGGCGCTTTCCTGGAGATTTTCTTCTGGTTTCAGAAAGCAACGTTAGGCAGTAGGCTGCCCTTAAACCCCCCCCCGGCGCCCTGAGCTGCCTCTAAACCCTTCATGGCGCCCTTGGCAGCCAAGCAGCATGTCCTTTGGCCACCTGCCGGGCGCTTTCCTGGCGATTTTCGCGCTTTTCTGGAGATTTTCTTCTGGTTTCAGAAAGCAACGTTAGGCAGTAGGCTGGCCTTAAACCCTCCCCGGCGCCCTGAGCTGCCCTTAAACTCTTTATGGCGCCTTTGGCGGCCTAGCAGCATGTCCTTTGGCCACCTGCCGGGCGCTTTCCTGGAGATTTTCTTCTGGTTTCAGAAAGCAACGTTAGGCAGTAGGCTGCCCTTAAACCCTCCCCACCGCCCTGAGCTGCCTTTAAACCCTTCATGGCGTCTTGGCGGCCTAGCAGCATGTCTTTTGGCCTTCTCCGTCCTTCACTGCCATGGTGTTTCCCCGTCCGGGGGCTGTGGTTTTGCGCGGTCTTTCCTCGCCCAAGAACCGCGTTTTGGAGCGGGACAAGTAGCTCAGAAATCTCCTCATTTTCTAAGGGTTTCAGAAGTTACGTTAGGCACTTTTTCGCCGCCTTTTTTGCGCCTTCTCCATCCTTCACTGCCATGGTGTTTCCCCGTCCGGGGGCTGTGGTTTTGCGCGGTCTTTCCTCGCCCAAGAACCGCGTTTTGGAGCGGGACAAGTAGCTCCGAAATCTCCTCATTTTCTATGGGTTTCAGAAGTTACGTTAGGCACTTTTTCGCCGCCTTTTTTGCGCCTTCTCCGTCCTTCACTGCCAAACTAATTGTTTCAACCGAAGATCTTGTCAAGGTTTTCAAACATTAATGTGGGTAGTTTCTTTAGAGTTTCATGTAGGATTTCATTCATGAAGGGTCAAAAAAACACGGAAAACAAGGTGGAGGATCCAAAAAAACAAGGTCCCCGTATACTTTGATAAACTATCATGCACCTGTGCGGCGCAACCATGCACCTGTGCGGCGCAACACTAGCTGCATAATAATAGGGCCAAAACTATCGTATAGATATATATATATATTATCTAACTATTGTACAGTTACTTAGATCCGTGAACCCATAAAACCATAGGATCATAATATCAACATGCACCCAAATGAAAAACCCATTTACAAATGAAAATTCAAACCTATCAAATATAGTTCACAACAATATACATAGGAAAAAGGTCGAAAGCCTCAGAATTTAGTTTGCTTCCTTGCCGATTCTTCCGGGGTCGGCGGCAGGGGCGGCAGCCCTTAAATATATTATACAGTTTATATATATATATACATAACATCATCTTCCTAACCTCTGTCTCCGCTTGCGTGGACTTGGTGTCGGAGCGTTCGAGGTCCTCACCTAAAAAGCGACCAACATATCCGACATATCCGACATATCCTATGAAAACTAAGGGAAAATATGTGGAAAGATATGGAAAGCTACGGGAAAATACATGGACATATATGGGACATATATGGGACATATATGGGAAATGCGTGGAAATATGGAATTTATACGATTCTGATACTCTTCAAGAATCGCTTGCATTGTATTAGCAGATCATCGAACTACGAAGGGTATAACCACCGGGGGAGAAACATGGGAAACTAAACTCTGACTATCAAAACCCAAGGGAAATACGCGGAATCAATGAGCACTATGAAAACTATCCTAATTGGATTTGTTTTGTTGATTTTTTTGCGGGAAGCCATAGTTTTGAGACTTATAAATATATATATATATATACACCGGGGTGAAAGTACCAGGCGCAGAAAACAGTTTTCAGGGCCACTTAATAGATGGCGCGGACACCGGTATTTGGAACGGACGAAATCTGAGAAAATAACCGAATCTGCCCCAGTGAAAGTAGATGGCGCAACCCGCTGGTGTTGCGCCATCTACTTATGCCGGATTCCACATAAATGTGCAAATGATGTGGCTGAAATTGGATGAAATTTGTGGAGTAGACTCCGCGCCATGTTTTCCTTCCTTTTCCCCGGCAGTCTGTTGGTTCTGTCATCCATTCACGGATCCATATACTGTACAGTACCATATGCAGCAGTAGTACGCTTTGTGCACTTGAAAGTATTGAATTCCACAGATTTAACATCTTTGACCGAAAACTAAATATGTATTCGTCTGTGTTGCATGATCTGTGGAATTTTCGCAACCGGGTACCTGCAATTTGGTTATGCTTATCCTTATTGCCAAAGCTGGCGCAGCTCCAAGCATCACACAGGCGGTTCTTGTGGCCCAGTTGCGCCATCTACTGTGCATTCGATCTGGTGGAACATGCGCATGATTTTTGTGGGAGAGAACGCTCACATGAATACACCAGTGACATGTGAGTTGCGCCATCTATCTGGCTGCAATATGGGGAGGTTCCCCGTGTGCTTCTGGAGTTGCGCCATCTATGGCAGTGGCAAGCATAACCAAACTGCACACACCCCGGTCGCGAAAACTCCACAGATTCAGCCATGTTCGCCGAATACTAAATATGTATTCGCGGTTTTGCGTGGGAAAAAGATGGCTCAGGTACGCACGCTATATTAATGCGAGTTGCGCCATGTATGTTGGGCCCCCGGGGGGCCAAAGTACATGGCGCAACTAGTGTATTCTGCGCCTGGTACTTTCACCCCGGAGTATATAAATATGATAATATGGTGGTTCCTGCAAAATTCATCCAGATTCGATGGTAGATTTTTTGAACATTGGGGAATTGGAAGGACTTCATCCAACATTCATCCAAGTTTTCACTACAATTAAGGCTCCCATCTATCAAGGACAATAAGTGCAGAAAATCATCGCTGCCTCGGGATGTGCACCATAAAACTGGCCTGTTCCTGGGGGCCATCAAGTTGTACAAGTACTGTTCCCTATGGTATGGCTGGCAGTCAGAGACATCCATCCTTTGTAGATGAAAGTTCCCATTACCATGACATGTACATATAGATATCATATTATTTCATATGCGCATATGAGTGATTGTATAATATGCATTATCACATTGATGTGCACATATAGGTACAGTACATAGAGATATGTAATTTATATATATATGTATGCATATACCCTCCGGTAAACTAACATAACTATGGAAAATCACTATTTTCTAGCTGGGAAGACTCACTATTTCTATGGCCATGTTCAATAGCAAACTGTTAGTCATTACTAGGGGGTAGATATCCATTTATAGATGGTTTACCATTAAAAAAATGGTGGATTTTCCATGGCTATGCTAGTCATTACCAGATGGTATATACTGTACCAGATTTAAAAAATGGTTTACATTAATAACCAGATGGTATATATATATATTATATATAATCCATATAAACCTCACATCTTTTCTGATTTTGCTGCCGCACCACCTGCATCCTCCAACTCCAAAGTAGTGCAACGTCGATAGTGCTGTGCTAAATCCTTCAACTTCAGCAGCTCCAGTTCGTCCTAGCGTCGAACGCGACCAAGCTAGGAGTGATCAAACACCAGCTGTTTTTCATAGGGAAAAACCCATGAAAAAATACATATTTATAGTAGGTGATCACTATTTTGGGGTAGTGTTAACCCCCGAATTCTTACCAGGGTCGAAAAATATCCGAGCTTGACCCTTTCACGGTTACTAACCGATGTTACACGCAAAATGCTGTGATTGATCATCGCTTACCCTATTCAAAATTCAAAGTGCCAATGGGAGGTTGATCATACTGGAGATGCTGAGTCTACGATTGGGGTAATTTTTCACAATTCTTTCTGCAGCCAGGGACGTGATCATGGACATTACCATTATGACCCAACTCTCATCGACATCATTCAAGTTGCCATGGATATCAAACCGTCATCAACAAGTTGTCATTGATATCATTGATGTCAAACAATTTGTCATCACCGATTTGTCATGGATATTGCACAACGCGTCATGGCTATCAAAGAATGTCTCATCGGTATCAAAGAATTGGTCATGGATATCAAAGAATGTGTATCGCTATCAAGAAATGAACTTCATTCATATAATTGGAACAACAGAGGTTGTCTCTGGAAGGCTGTGGGGCAGCTGGCGCGTCAGAGACAAAAGTTGCGCAGGATTGAGGATTTCACAGTCCAACACCAACGACTTGCAGATTTGGTGAGTTTTGTCGTCAAAAACTCAACGGGTAGCATTGCACAACCGCAATGAGCATGAAACAACGGGGAAATGAGCATGAAAAAACCCGTGGGATTTCGGGGGAAAAGCTTTGGTTCACCATAGCTTGGAGCCACATCAATGGTCACCCCACCATGTTGAATGGGGTTCCTTACAATGAAAGGGAAAACATACATTGATGACCCAGTCATACCCAGTCCAATTCTTGACCATGGCACATGCGGAATCTATATGATTTTATGGGATTATGATGGAGAAACCAACCAATCATAACCAATCTTTTTTGGAGTCAATGGGTGGTTTAAGGATTACAGTATTTCATAGGAAAATATGGTTTGACCCCGAAATCATCACGGTTTCCGGCAAACGGTCTCTTCATCAAATTCTAGGAAAAACGTCTCATCATAAACGATTCCAACGCGTGCAACGGTATAGCCCAAGATGCATATACAATCATATGCATAGTATTCAAACATATGTATATATATATATGTACATAAAAACATATACACTATACACATGCAAATGAATTGTATGTATACGTGTTTAATTTTTGTATGATTTTATATATGTATATACAAATATATTAGATACACCTACCTACTGAATGTATATGCATACGGCATAATCTTCCCAGTTCCTGTTGATCAAACCGCCCATCGCCCATCGATCAAGCGCGGCTCCCTTCGATCGGCAGCTGGAGCACGCAAGCGACGCATATTGCCTCGGCGAACGCCGAGGCGCAACATGGTGAGGGGGCGATGCCCGGAGGTTTAATGGTGATTTCATGGGGGATTCAACGGGACTTTTCATGGGTCGATATTAAAAAAATCATTGATGGAATCCACAGCAATGTTCAAAACCACCGTTGGTTGATGATGATGATGATGATGATGATGACTATATATATATGGTATGTCGTTTGAAGATTATTTCAACATAGCGAAAAATCCACCGTTTTTTAGTATGTAAACTATCGATGGACCATGGCTTCCATAGCTATGTGAAATTACCCGAGGGTAACAGTTTCCAACTGCTCGGGCTTCTGATGTTCATTTACTCAATATTACTTAATGGTAGTTCCAATATGATGAACCATGGCCTAAGAGAAATGGAAGCCTCTATTTCAAAGTGAAGGACTACGCTCACGAGTGACTACACCCCTTTCTCCGCGGAGTCCCTCTAAGAAGTTAGGCACTGAAACAACACTGTTGGGAAGTGGCGTTGGGAAGTTTGATCAGAATTTTTGCCCGTGTCCCTGGGAAGCAAACAATCGCCTAGATGTTGAGGACCTCTTTAGCCATTGAAGTTTGAGGCCTAATTATAAGAAATGCTTTAAAAAATGTCAGACAATTATGGAATATTATGGGATATGCAGCTGCATGGTTTGTAAATGTTGATATAATTTTATGTATAACCCAGCTACTAAATCCATCTAAATCCAGGAAACGCTCCCATTTCAATTTCAATGGCCGAGTTCTGGTGCGTTTTTGATGACCCAGGCGCGGAAAGAACTCACAGGCAGAGACTGAGAGGATGGGGCTTCTTCCTGCCTCACCTGCACGGAATTTTTACGGCATGTGGCCAACAAGAGTTTTTCCAAGTCTAAGATGGGTACTTCTATGAATCAGAATTGGTGAACGATTTTCCGCATCAAGGCATCCATTCTAACTAGGGGATTGCTCATTTTGATCCATTCACACCTATGGTTCCTGATTCATATATTGATAATGTCATACCATCATTCAACCAGCGGCTGCTCTTTTCGGACGGTAATAATTAAGAAATCTATTTGAAACATTTTGAAACCCACTTTTGCAGGTCTTCGGACCAATTTCGCTCATGGTTCGAAATGTTCCCCCCCCCAAAATGATGCGTGGCCTGTTCTCCGAAGCCATGGGATGCCCCGCCTTCGACGGCGGAAAGGACAGGGCGGGCATCAGCAACTCACCGCAGTCCGAAGTCCGTGGGCTTGGAACTGAAATCCTTGGAAGCCAGGAAGCATCTGGGGGGTTCCATAAATGGGGGACCCGGGGCGGCTCGCTGGATGGTTTATTTCATGGAAAATCCAACTAACATGGATGAGAACTGGGGGGTAGCCCTATTTTAGGAAACCCCCATCTGGAGCATCATGATCTATCGCATCTCTTCCCCCGAAAAAATTTGGCTGCGGGATAGCTATCCCAATCCAATTCCCATCATTCCAGTGATGTTGCGACGTGAGGTCATGATCAAACTCTATCCAGAGAAGTATACCCGCACGTGCGTTCCGCCCCATAGGTACTTCACGATATACACTTTCATAGGGTTTTTCTTCAGTGTTTCTTTGGGGTTCTTTAGGGTTAATTCATGTGTTTTCTAAGATTTTTCTATGGTTTTCTATGTTTTTTCTATTGTTTTTCCAGGGTTTTTCTATGTTTTTTCTATGGGTTTTCCATGATTTGTCCATGGGTTTTTCTATGTTTTTCTATGGGTTTTCCATGATTTTTCCATGGGTTTTTCCAGGGGTTGATGTTAAAAAGTGCCGAGATGTGCCGACTCTTGGGAGACAGCTCCCCGAGGCTGTCTTCACCAGTTTTGCTGGAAAAAATGTCTTTCCTGACAATGGAAATATGATGAATATCTATCCAGGTGTTTCTGATATAGATATATATCATATATAACCTAATATAATATATTATATTATATTATATTATAATATATAATATATGATATATATGACATATATATATATATTATTAATTTATATTATATATATTTTATATTATATATATATATGTATATCCAGTTCTATGGAGGTCCTCACCTGTTTCTGAAAAATATGTTTCCTGGTTCCGACAACTCCAACAAAACCCGAAGATTCCGGTGACCTTGTGATCAATATTGGCGACTGAACAACACAGGGATCTAGGGGTGCTATACAATCAAAACAAGGAAAACAATGGTGATCAAATAAACCAACATAAATGAGAACTTACTGTAACAGAATGAGAGTTTCACCATGTTTCACCGGCCAAAAATGTCCTTCTTAGGCGAAAGGGAAAGAAATGATCCAATTGAGCCAGGCATCTCAGGTAGTTTGAAGGTCTGGCTTCCCGCCTTCCTGTCCCTGTGACGGTTAGCTCAACGGTTAATTGGGGGCAGGTGGACAAAAAATCGGAAAATGATTGAAACATCTTGAAACATCTTGAGACCACCAAGGAGGTACTCAGATACACTGCCCTTAACCAATTATAGAATAGACGGTTACCATTCCAGGGTTATCATTCCAGCAATGGGGCGACTTACTGACTGCGGACGGAAGCTCTATGAAGCTCTGAAAGCTGGAATTGTCCCATATCTTACAGTAGATATCAGGTAGATACTCTATAGTGTGCATGTCTGTCTGTCTGTCTGTCTGGTCTGGTCTGGTCTGGTCTGGCCTGGTCTGGTCTGGTCTGGTCTTGTCTTGTCTTGTCTTGTCCTGCCTGCCTGTCTGGTCGGTCGGTCGGTCGGTCGGTCTGTCTGTCTGTCTGTCTGTCTGTCTGTCTGTCTTGTCTGTCTTATCTGTCTTGTCTTGTCTTGTCTTGTCTTGTCTTGTCCTGTCCTGTCCGGTCCGGTCCTGTCCTGTCCTGTCCTGTCCTGTCTGTCTGGATGGATGTATAAATGGATGTACGCATGCATGCAGGTATGTATGTAACTAATAAGTCAAATATAATAAGTCAAATAAGTGGATACTGATTACTGATTCCTATCACAACGAACGGGATATTGATATTTATAGATTGTGGGAAGCCTAGTCCCTGTAACAGTGACCACAAAAAAAGCACCAGAAAAACCACGAGAAAAAGTGAAAAAATGGAGGTTTGTTTTCCAAAAGTGCCGGCTTCAAAAAGCCATCTGTTTTGGAGCTGCCCTTTTTAGCGCGCTGCATGAAGTGACATAATCATTTTGGAAGCATGATGTGGCATTTTGCATTGACTTTGTTCCACCAAAAAGTTGGAAAATAGAATGGCATCCAAGATTCAAAACGCACACTTTGTATGTTGAAAACCCCACTGGAGATTCCTAATGCAGATTTTTAGTTGTCAACGACTTTCTTCAAGTGAGCCCTACCAACTGACACTCTACCTGACATAATATGGTCGGGCATCAAAAGCGACATCTTATCGGACATTCTATCTAACATCTTACCTGAGATACAATCCGGTTTCTTGCCAGACATACTATTTGAGCCAAAAAAATTGGGCCATGGGGTAAAAACTATTTCGGCAAGAGACCCCAAACAGTGTGGTGGAGTGGGAGGATAATGTATGACAACGTTGTTGTTAATGTTGTGGATGATGAGGATGATGATGATGATGATGATGAAGATGATGAGGAGGAGGAGAATGTCGCAGACAATTATGTTGAGGATGATGATGCTGAGGAAGATGAGGTGGAGGATGATGATGTTGAGGAGAATAATGGTGAGGATGATAATGCGGAAGATGAAGTGGAGGATTTTAAGGTGGAGGATGATGATGTTGAGAAGGAGAAAGATGATGATGTTGAGGGCGACAATATTGAGGGGGATGACTTGACAAAAAAAGATAATAATGGGGCAAGGACCAACATTATGTCTACTGACCAAGACTTCGCTTGGGTTCCACAAGAGCTTCTCACAAGGACCTGTACAAAATCATACAAGGATGTCCTAAGAGGGTTTCATTAGGATCTCTAGAAGATCTTCTTACAAGGACGTGCGCAAGATAATCTCACGAGTATCTCTAGAAGATCTTGCAAGGACTGGTTCAAGAGCGCACAAGGACCTCTTGAGAGGAAATCATGAGGATCTCTGCAAGATCTTCGCACTAGGACCTGTACAAGATCATGCAAGGACATCCTTTATAGGAAGATTTCATCAGGACCTCTAAAGGATCTTCTTACAAGGACTTGTACAAGATCATGCAAGGTCCTCTGGAGAAGATTTCAGCAGGGTCTTTGCAAGGATCTTCGCACAAGGATCTCTACAAGATCTTCCCACAAGGATCTCCATAATGAAGATCACGCAAGGACCCCTTGAATGGATTTCTGCAAGATATCTCTACAAGGATCTTCGTACAAAGATCCCTAGAACATCTTCGCGCAAGAATCTCTTGACGAGGAGCTCTACAAGATCTTCCTCACAAGGATCTCCATCAGCTCTTTTCGCAAGGACCTGTACAAGATCATGCAAAGCCCTCTTGAAAGGATTTCAGCTGCATCTCTGTAAGGTATCTAGGGAGATCTTCTGTTTGAAACTTTCAGACTACATTCCGTGTCAAACCTGCTGTCCCACTGTCCTCGAAGAAGGCGAAAGGATCCACCATGGGCGGCCCTCCGGGGGACCAGGGTCCCGAATACTAAACGCAAGTAAAACTGATGTTTTTTTGTTTTTTTTGTTTTTTCCATTGTTTTTTCTTGTAACTGTGACCACGGGACAAAGCACGAGACAAAGCACGAGAAAAAGCACGAGAAAAAGCACGGCTACAAGAGAAAAAGCATGAGAAAAAGCACGAGACAAAGCACGAGAAAAAGCACGGCTACAAGAGAAAAAGCATGAGAAAAAGCAAGAGAAAAAGCACGAGATAAAGCACGAGAAAAAGCACGAGAAAAAGCACGAGAAACAGCAGGAGAAAAAGCATGAGAAAAAGCAAGAGAAAAAGCACGAGCAAAAAGCAAGAGAAAAAGCACGAGAAAAAGCACGAGAAAAAGCGCGAGAAAAAGCGCGAGAAAAAACACGAGAAAAAGACCGAGAAAAAGGAGCTAACTTGAGCTAACGAAGTTTCAAAGGCCGAAATGGCATCCACCAAAAATATCCAAAAATCACATTTTGCTGGTGCTTTTTTTGGTGCTATGTTTTGTGCTCTTTATAAATATAATTAATAAGGCGCCTTCCAAAAAAAAACACAAAAAACAGCACCAGACTCCAAAAAAGCACAAAAAAAGCACAAAAAGCAGCACCAGATTTTGCACGAGCAAATCTTGAAAAAGCGCCACTGAAATTTCCAAAACAGTCAAGGAGAAATCCAAAGGAAGCGGAAAGAAAAGCACTAGGCGAAGACCAGGATGGCACGAATACTAAAAGGTGGGCTTTGACACAGTGAACAGGATGCAAAGCACGAGACAAAGCACGAGACAAAGCACAAGAAAAAGAACGAGAAAAAGCACGAGAAAAAACGAGAAAAAGCACGAGACAAAGCACGAGAAAAAGCGCGAGAAAAAACACGAGAATCACGAGAAAAAACATGAGAAAAAGCAAGAGAAAAAGCACGAGAAACTGCACGAGAAAAAGCACGAGATAAAGCACGAGAAAAAGCACGAGAAAAAGCACGAGAAAAAGCACGAGAAAAAGCACAAGAAAAAAGCACGGGAAAAAGCAGGAGAAAAAGCACGAGCATAGAGGCAGAGTAAGCGGGAATATCACATACCACTTCTTTGAACGCAATATTTCGTCACAAAAAACAAATGCTGAAGCGGCAGCAGCTTCCACAACTCAGAGACAACATTGACAGCGTGTAGATGTCTAGCCTTACGTTCTCTTTCAATACATCAAAAATGACCTTCTGCGCAGGACGAAAATTGCATCCGGTATCCAAAGCATTTGCACAGCTTGCCAATGCCAATGTGACAATGTACAACCCCGTTGAGAAACCATTGCGTTCTAGGGCCATCGACTACGATGTCTAGTGTTTAAAATTGTGGCAGTGTATCAACATTGATATGATACAAATATGCATTTAATTGTTACATTACATTACTGATACTCTACGGGACACTCTTTGGCCCCCTGACTCTAGAGACCCCACATCATACACTCAAGAGTCCCGAAAGCCAAAATTGCTATTTGTTTGCTTCGCTAAACCGGAAAGGAAAAAGTCTAGCTAAAGTGAATGGAACCTTCTCCTTTACCTTGCTGTTAGAGGAAATAATCAAAAACAATTGAGTTGGAAAATGTGATGTATTTTATGCATGTGTTACTGTTTCTTTCCTTCCGCAATTGTATCTTGAGACCGGTTTTGGTCAATTTGACCTTCTAGGTGTTGATTACAATGCATAGTGTTTAAAAAGGTGCCGCTTTATCAATTACTTTTCACCACATACCACGTGGACACATTGATATGAATTATATATTGATTATATTGACATTGATTTACTGATCACTGATTTACATTACATTTCTGATACTCTACGGGACACTCTTTGGCCCCCTTTCAGGACTCTAGAGACCCCACATCATACACTCAAGAGTCCCGAAAGCTAAAATTGCTATTTTTTTGCTTCGCCAAACCAGAAAAGAATGAAAAACGGAGAGGAAAAAGTCCAGCTTAAGAAAAGGAAATGCATTAGAAGCAAATTTTGTGAATGGGCTATTGCTTCTTTTCTTCTGCAATTGTTTTTTGTGACCTTTTTTGGTCCTTTTGGCTTCTGGGGCCCTTGGATACTCTATCTTTGGCTTGTAGAGTTTTCAAAGAGGGCCACAAGCCATAGAGTATTCCACAATGTATAGCGTACATAGGGTACATAAAAATGTGAAATGTGATAATAAGACTTTCATTTTATTTTACTCTTTCATAACATCATGTATTGGCTGTATTGGCGAAGCATATACTGTACTCTAGTGACTATCCTGTGGGAAGCCCAGTCCCTGTAACAGTGGAAAAAATGTTTTTAATTTTAACTACCACCCCAGGGGGAGCACAAGCAAATCCCGTTTTTTCAAAACTATCTTTTGCAACTTCTAAAAGTAAAACTAGGAACCTGACAGCTAAGGCAATTTTTGGTTTTCTTAAGTCAACACCTGTGGAAACACTAAAATCAGAAAAACCTTGGGTCTAACATACTGGAATTTAGTGTTCCCACAGGTTGTTCTGAATTTAGTGTTTCCACAGGTGCTGATTTGAAGAAAAGAAAAAAACTTTGCTGTCTTAGTTGTCAGGTCCTTACTTTTACTTTTAGAAGTTGCAAAAGATAGTTTTGAAAAAACGAGATTTGCTTGTGCTCCCCCTGGGGTGGTAGTTATAATTAAAAACCATTTTTCCACTGTTACAGGGACTAGGCTGCCCACAATTTATAGATATCTACGGGACTCATAACTATTGTAATAATATGTAATAACTATTGCAACAACAATCTATCATCCCTAATATCAAACATCCCCCAGCAACAGAGCCACCATGGTGGATGGGGATGAGTCAAGCCACTCAATAAATTGCCGCATGATATTTTAACATAGCGATGGAAAATGGCTCATTTAAAACTCATTTAGTGGTGATAAGCATGATGATTTACAGTACCTATCAAAATGGTGATGTTCCAGTTCGCTATGTTAAAAATTACTAGAGCTTGAATCATCCTAAACCACCATTAGATATCATTAAACAGTCTTTATCGGATATCATTAAACACCATTACTGTATAAGATATCATTAACAACCACAATTCATCTTAAATTCACAATTAAATCATCATCAATTTCTCATTATATAAATCCTGGGTGCCCCCACTTTGGTTTGCCCTTGGCGCCGCGGCCGCTGTCTTTCGTCAGGCTGCGGCTTGAGACTGGGCTGTCCTGACATCGATGCCCAACGAACAAAAAGATCAGGAAAACATCGTAGACCATGATATGGGTATGGATCAATACCTATTAATACCATTTTTAGGGGAATGAACATCCATTTACCAGCTATTTTGATGTTCACCAGGGGTACAAGGTTTTGACACACTGCCATATGTTTACCATAAATTAAAAGAGAAAAATACCGGAAACCATCGAAACCATGGAAATGTTTTTCTATAGAACCATTGGTTCACCATTAGGGAAATGATCAGTGCCAACGTTGGGGCCCAGGGCCTTGGGGCATCATCATGATACTGAAAATCGCATGGTCCATCATTCTCCCACTGAAATTGCCATAAATTGGAGGTAAATTTACCACATGTTCAGACACACCCAGGGCCCAGACTTTAAAAAAAAACCATCTGAAAAAAGATCTGTTCCGTTGTTCAACGAATCTGCAGCAGGCAGATTAAGCATCTTGTTGGGGTACCTTGGTCATTGGTTTCGCATTATCAAACTTGGATGATTTTAGGAAACCCTCACTTTTCCTGGTGACCGAGGTTTTTCCACCATCCTTCTTCCCGGAAGGGTGTCACAGCATTTCTGAAACCCGAGACCGTCCTCAGCCAGACTCAAGCGAAGCCGGGCGCGGGCCATGATTTTTTTTCACACTGAATGGCTGCCACGGATCTTTGGATATCAGGATTATGATTGGGGAACTGACCAAAATGGAAGAGTCGCCTTGGGAAACCTGGGTCTTGACCCCTACCACGGCGGGAAAGCGTGCCATCACCCCGATGCGGAACGGGCCTGGACCTGAGGATCAGGTTCACTCTCCAATGGCTCCTCGCAAGGTGATGAGGAAGATTGCCTAAATTTGACCACCAAAATGCTGGTGGTTCCTATCTTTCATGAGGAAAACACATGGAAATATATGACAATGTTGACTTGAGTAAACTTGAATATGACATGTTAGATCTGGTGGCATCTACTTTGGGGTTGTTCTGGCAAAGTTGTATCTTTTGCTGTATTGAACATGTCTGTTTTGGGTACTATACCGGATTTTCCGTTGCATCAAGTATCGCAAATCGTATAGATCGTAACCCTCTGGAACCGAAACAAGTGGCTTGAAATGGCCAATTGTGGACAATTCTAGGCCATAGACCAATCAAAACAAAACTACAAAAATCCTATGGCCATCTATGGCCTTAAACGTTCTGGAGGCACATGGCCCAAAACCCATGGGGTTTTCATCCTCTGGACCATCCCGCAGAGAACCTCCTCAGACGTTGTTTCGCCGTCAGGCACCTGCATCCCATGAAACGCCCGGCGAGATGTCAACCTCAAAATGAAGGGATCGCATGTAATGTCAACCCTGGATTTCGCTAAACCATGGTGTGTTTTTTTGGGGAGGTATTCCCCCAATAATTGTCATGATTTGATACTTAAATGGTACCTTCCCAATGAAACAGCCGTTTGGGGTTTATTCATCCAGGGTTGACATTACTACCCGGTTACTACCCTCTGGTAATTTAACATAGCTATGGAAAATCACCATTTTTAATTGGTAAATCCACTATAAATCACCATTTTCAATAGCTATGTTAAATTACCAGAGGGTACCCTCTGGTAAGAAGCAAACGATATGCAAACGTGGATGGGATGCAAGCTGGGAGTTTTCCACGAACTAGCCATGGAGCCTTGGTTTTCGCTGGGAAAAACGTGTTCATCCAACTGAGCTACCAAGGGGGGCGAAAACGCGGGACGGTTGCAAGATCCACTGGTTGCTCCTCAGCAAACCCACCATAGAAAGATTAGAGAATCAGTGGGAATCAATATCCCAGGCAGGGGATAGAAACATATAGAAACACATGTACCCATATGATTGCGATAGAAACCAACCACTTTTGGAGCCACCAATCAGTTGTTACGTTGGTTCCCTGCATTTCTGCAGCCATCTTTGGTGGTTTCATCTACCCATTCGTCAACCCGAAATGGGGATGGTTCACATCATCAGGTACCGTACCCCCAAAAACATTGCTTGCTCATGCTTGCTGCTTTTTTCATGTGCTTGATTAATATTGATGAATATTTAAAATGCAAATCATCGCATGTAATAATATATAAGACTCATACTCATGACAGTAATAGTAATAGTAATAACCTTCCGAAAAAAATTACCAGAATCACACAATCTCCACGGCCACCTCTGGAGACACTGCGGCAGGAAGGGCCTCCTGGCAGTCGGTATGGATGTATATGTGGCGTGCACATGTGCACACACAGACACACACACACACATATATATATATTATTGCATATGTACATTATTATATTCATATTTATTTATTTATCTATTTTTTTATATGTATATTTACATTTTATATAGTGCAAAGTGCAAATAAATATCGCTGTATAGAACTATAAATTGTATTAAATTGTATCATATTGATATAACACGTACATGTGTGTCTGTCTGTGATGCGTAGGATGTTTATATATATAATATATATATACATATGTAAATATATGATTACATGTGAACAATGATAGTAATTATAGCAGTAATTGTCAGTAATTGTCAGTAATTAGTATTTTTTCACTGGTAATAATGGTGTTAATTTCCAAAAAATGACCAGAATCACAGAAATTCAACATCAGGGATGCCCACTGCCCCTACCAAAAAGCCACTGCAGCAGGAAGGGCCTCCAAAAAGATGCCAATGGCAGTGCGAAACCAGGTGTCCAACTGTTCTATGGCGTGCTATATGTATGTATATATGATATATGTATGTAATGTGTATCTATAAGTGTTGTATATGAATATATTTATATATAATTATACATTGTTGTGTGTGTGTGGTGGAACATGCCGGTGTGCGTGTGTGTGCGACTTCATGATCTTTGCCACCATGCAAATTCAGGAAACTAGGGACTTACGAGGCCACAAACCCCCGTGCAGCCACAGTTACCCTGCGTCCCTCCACGAAACTGTGTAGTGTTGGCTGGTTCATCTATTTCCCTCCCAAAAAAAACGGGAAACCATGGGCCCCTAGCTTCACCTGCACCATTCCTCAAGGTTCCCTTGGACATTTCATGGTCTCGCCGAGTCTCGCCCATCCGACCCGAGGGGAAGTAGAACTGCTAGATATCACTCTTATTGGTGATTGACCTACCCCCCTGAAAAATATGAAAGTCAGATTGGATCATCATCCCAACATATCCCAACCATTGGAGAAAATAGAATTCATGTTCCAAACCACCAACCAGCACTTGATATCAAGTTTTTTACAGTAACTCATGGGACCTTGGAAGTTCACTCCAGTTCGCTACCAAGTCGGCTCTGTCATGGCAACCCGGCTTAGCAACTCCGTGGCGAATGCCTCCTCTTTCACGCTAGTTCCGCTAGTTGCAGGTGTAGCTGACACCTAGGCGCACGAGACTAACGGCCAAAAACCTAATGGACTTGGGACCAAAACTAGCGTTGAACAATGTGTTTTCCAACTGGCACTTGCCATTTTGATGTATGTTGACATATGTCGACCCACAAATTCCTAGGTATCCATGCCTGCTGACAGGAAGAAAACTCCGAATATCGGCTTGCCTGAAGCCAACCACTTTTCTCATGTCTATAGAGGATTTCCGCGGGGCTGCGTCTATAATTTCTTGATGTTTTTTTTCCAAAATGTACAATGTGGGGCCCCCAAACGTTATGTTTGTTGGTTTAGATTCGCCCCAATAACTATATAGTTATAAATGTTATAAGTACCATAAACCATAGTTATTGGAGTTTAAACCATAGTGAAATTGGAGTTATTGGCACCAACTGAACGCTATCGTAAACGGGGGCCCCACGAAATGTAGCCATCTAGAGGGTTCCACGGAACGAACATAAAGATCTTCATCATTACCCTCCTGTAATTTAACATAGCTATGGAAGCCATGGAAGCCATGGACCATAGCCTTTCCAAAATTGGTGATGTTCCACATCTAGAAATTCTCAGAAGGATCTTAAATCCCCATTTAAAACACCATTTCATAATCAATTATAATCATAACCCCCATCTAATTCTGATAAAACCCCATGAAATCACCATTGAATCACCATTGACCGAAGGCTTCAATGCCTTCACTTCTTCCCACCCTTGACTTCCAGGTCGCCGCCGGCACACCCAGCGTTTGCCCAGATGGAAATTTCAACAAATCCACCTGTACTTCACGGCGGTTCCATGGCCGGTGGAAGACAGTGGGTCTGTTGATAGGGCCAGGGGCCCCCATGTTGTTCTGATCTGGGGATGAGATGTTGATCAAAATCAAAAATCTGGAAAAAATGTTTTGCGTGGTTTTTTTCTCCATTTTGGCTCATTTCTTCTAGGTCCAATGTCACATAACGTCTAATGGCCCATCACCCGCACCGAAAAAAAGTCTAGAAGTAGCGGGCTCTCAAGTTCTGGAAACAATGGGGAATGCACTACACATCAAGTAAGTCAATAAATAATAAATCAAGGAACAGAGAAACGTCAACAAATGAGCCAGGGAATAAATAAGCAAACCAATAGACAGTATAGATATATAGATCATACCTAAACTAGATCTGCATATATGGGGTATGCGGTATGCATCAAGATTGGGGCACCAACGGCTCAGACGGTTCTATTATTCAAACCGATCTGTTTGTTTTCCAAAACAGATGATTTTATACTACAAATCACTTACTTGAACCACCCATTTGTTTAAAAAACATTCGGTCCAATGATTTTTGACCCAGGGACCCAAAAATCAGCAATAAACCTAAAGACCTAAATGAACACAGAATCTATGAAATAAACAAAATAAACACCTCGTTTTTTAAGGATAAAAAAATGTCATGACTTTAAGTCTTTAAGTCACAGATTCAAAAATTGATCGTTTGCTCACATAAATGATCATAGTTTTCTGAATCATCAGAATTATGACCCATATGCGGATAGTATTTGCCAACCATTTGCAGAAAAAAAAAAAGCCAAAAAAGGCATTCTTAAGCTATTGTTTGATTCCTGGGATAGATTTATGATATTTAAGATATTTTATGATCATCCTGAACACATGATCTGACATACCACCTGGTTATTTAACATAGCGAACTGGAAATCCATTGAATCCATGGAGTTTTTTTTCGCTCGGGAAATCATCTGTTTCGAAGGGGGCCATGGCTTCCAGTTCGCTATGTCAAACAACCGGAGGGTATGTCCGATCATAAAATCTTGACATAGCTAACAATATTTTAAATCATGAAATATGTGAAATATGTTGAAATCTGGGTAAATTTAAAAAAATATGTCACATTATGCCGTTAGACTCTTGCGGCCCAGCATTTTCGGGGATGATTTCCCCAAAAATTACCCAGATGATTCTCTCAATGGATTGGTTTAAGGGAAATTTTACAGGAAAACCCCATATTTACTGGGAAAATCTATGGTTTCCTGTAGATTTTCCCTTGAACCAATCCATTGATTCTCAGATTTTCTGACCCATCCCATATGAATCCGGAGGGATCGCCTCTGGTACCCTGCTTGGCGGCGGCATCTCGACGCCTCTGGCGAAGCTGCAGGGTGTGAAAACACCGTAACACATATAGGTGATTTTCATTGATGTTCCATGGCAAACTGTGAAATTAGATGAAATGACCAATGACATTACCAATTCGGGAATTTAATTTTGGAAATGTGCATGAAAATCGTCGAAATGGCTCAGTTAGACTATGCCAAAATGTATGTTGTAATCATGATCATAGTCAACACCGGTATATACTCTCCAGTAAACTAATATAGCTGTAGAAAATGGCCTATTTATAGTTGAATTACCTATTAAACATGGTGATTTTCAAGAGCTATGTTACCCTCCGGTAATCAGACATGGCTGGCTGGAAAGCCCCCCCCCAGTTTAGGTGACTTTCCCAGACAAAGCCCCAAACACCTCCACTTTCGTTTGGGGGTTTCCCTGCCATGTTTGATTGCGGATAGTATATGGCTATGGATCAATACCTATACATACCATTTTTAGGGGGATGAACATCCATTTACCAGCTATTTTTATGTTCACCAGGGGTACAAGGTTTTGACACACTGCCATATAAATGGGGTGGACATCATCATGAAATCTACCGGATAGATGGGGAGAATCAACCCGTATCAAGCGCCTTTAATATCCTTTAATCATAGGCCAGCATCCATAAGCTATAGGATTACCTATTCTTCACAGATTGCGGGAAGTGGGAATCATTAGCAGAACAAAATCTTGAAACGGGTCGTGATGATCTTTCCTAGGGGTTGAAAATTGTACCAGAAACACGTGCACCGACTTGAAGAATCCATTACTGTTTGGCGAGGAAGGCCCTACGGCCTGCGTGAATCAGGATGTTAAAAGGTGAAAGCCGTGGCTTGATATCCGCAATCCTTGATGCTTCTCAAGTGCTTACCTGCAACCGCCTCTCTAGAGAAATCCACAACTTCAGCCCGAAACCATTCGCGCATACAATCTTGAGTGGGTGCCCTGAAACCAGGGGGGCCTGACAAAATGGTAGGGTCGGATTTATTGCATTTATGTACTGCAAATTTCTGACAAAACCATGCAACGACAGGCAGCTTCAAAGTCTGGAAATGCACTGGTTATGTCAGTTGTTTCCCCAAGCAGAACCCGCAAATTTTTCGATCGAAAATGCGCCATGTTCGCCGCCACAAAAGTGTTTTGCCAAAGGTGCCCATCTTGTTCGTCAAAGCCGTGAGGGCCCGTTCCAAATTGGCATTCTGAATGTTTTGCCTGGGATCTGATCCACGTACCATCCCGTGTATCTCATCCTGGTTAACCATCTGGTTATGACTAACATAGCCATGGAAAGATCCACCATGTTTAATAGGTAAACCATGGAAAACCATCTATAAATGGGCCATTTTCCATGGCGAACTGTTAAATAACCAGAGGGTAACCAGGGGCTCTGATTAGATGCAGTCGGAGACATCACTGAGAATGAACTGCTAAAGACTTCCTAAAGGTACAGTAAGTTTCGAGCGGTTGTTTTGTCAAGTCATTCAAGACCGCAACGAAAACAACTTTCTGACATGGGTGGACTTGATATCCCATTCACCTATTGGTTGTCTATTGGGTCATTGGGCTGTGGCCCTCTAGGCAATCAGCCACCCAAATCAAAAAGGATCTCGGGGAATAACCCACTGCCAGCTGGCGGACCTTCCGACCAAAATTGCGCCAATTTGGAAGAAACCAGACATTGCAGGCTAAATCTCACCATCCCCGGAAAGGATAGAAAAGCAAAATCCAAACCTTAAAACAGTTGGGAAATGTTCATGTGGAACTGTCATAGACCATCCTCAAGTCATCACCAAGTCATAATGGATGGCATAATGGATGGCATTTTTTCCATCCCCATGGTAGGTGGCACGAGCTCGCTTCCCCACATATCACACTACCCAGTGCTACCCAGTGGCTGTTGGATCAGAGCGAAGAGCCCTTGCACCAAAAGCCTAAAAAGTCCCAGGGGGTACCAAGGTTTTGGAGGTTTCCAGGTGCAGAAACCCCACTCCTGAGCATGTCCGTTGCTTCATGATTATGTAGAATCCCACTTTTAAGCAGAAAATATGGAAAAAATGCACTAATTATATCATATATGAGATCTATCTATCATCATTCTGCATCAAAACCAGCTACTGTCCTTCAGCTGTTCATCCTCTTCGCCGAGCAACTGCTGACTTTGCACCAGCAACTGCTGGTTCTGGGCAAGCAGCTGTTGGCTTTGTAGGCCTCCAGCGGCCAGCGCATCACGATTCGTGATCAATCGATCAATCCCATACCCCTCCGATCATCAACACACACACACACCGCCACCATGATGGCTTCGAAGTGGGCACAAAATCGGATGGTACCCGGCCTGGTAAACTAACATAACTATGGAAAAAAAACAATGTTTAATGGGAAAATCCACTATAATTAATGGTCATTTTCAATAGCTATGTTAAATTACCAGAGGGTACAATCTGTTGCAAATAATCAACATCTGCGCGGAAAAACCGTGGCAACACTTCCGCTGGTGCTGTCGACTAGCCACTGGATTTTTGGATCCTTCATATCATACACAGGAGTGCTGCCAACACCCCTACGAGGGGGGAAAACTGGGTGGATCAAGTTACAAGAAGATGTATAAATAGAACCATCTTTTCCCCCTCGTTTCTATCATTTACCTGTCATTTACCTATAATTTGGCTTGGAGAACTCCCGATTTTGCCGGAACCTTGCCCCGAAAAAAACCTCCCGCCTTGCTGTCGGAGCTGATCCATCCTGGAAAAGGCTGCTGAGCCGATGGAAAAATGCGGGATTCACCGAGAGAAATGGGCGATTTCATGGTGATTGATGTGGGATTTATATGGGATTTACCATCTGGTTATGACTAACATAGCCATGGAAAATCACCCTTGTTAATGGGTAAACCATCTATAAATGGACCATTTTCCATGGCTATGTTAAATAACCAGAGGGTATGTGGGATATAATGGGATTTACCCTCTGGTAATGACTAACAGTTTGCGAACTTGAACATGGCCCATTGAAATTATTGAAATAGTGGATTTACCCATGAAAATAGCATGGTGATTTTCCATCTTGGTGGTGCAATTTCACCATCTTGAAAAATGATGCAGTTCGTCAATGGGAAGGATGACATCCCATAAATTGGAAAATAAAAGTCATGTTCCAAACCACCAACCAGAGTATATGGAGGGTTCTTAAAACGGTGGTACCAAAAAATGGATTGTTGATACTTGAAAATCGAATGAAAATGGATGATTTGGGAGTACCCCTATTTTTTTGGAAACCTCCGTATGGGTCTGTCTGAAAATTGGGTATATCTTATCCAAATGGCAATTTAGTTAATGGGGTGATGATAAACCATTGGAATTCGGACAAACTCACATTTCCCTTTTAGGAACAATTAAAAAGCAGTGTGTTGGACATTTTTGGACTATTTATCCAGTCATTTACCATCATTTACCTGTTGGCTGTTGAATGGATAGAACCCTCTATGAATCAGCCCGCGGAAAAAGGACATCTGCGTTGTCAACTTGGGTGGTGCTTCAGCAAAATGCCGGCTGATGAGTGTAGAGGGCATTCTTGTTTGACATAAAACCATCATGGCTTTGAAATAAAGTTTTGGTCTTTTCAATCGCAGTACTTGATTGTGACTACCTGCCCCCCAAAACGCTGATGGCAATTGAATGCTAATGATAGGAACAACATCGAAACAATTGATGCCGAAAAAGTGGAAACTATTCACAGGTCTTGAAAACTCGTTTCCTTACCATCACTTGCCTCTGTATTATTCATTTGGATTGTTTTAATGGATAAATCCCCATTTGATGATACATTTGACATATTATCATAAATTCACACGCACAACATTAAATTGGCCAGAATTCAGCCTTTAAAAAAGTAAATTGCCATAAATACGAATCAATTGGAGTTTATGTAATGTATCCATCACAACTGAAGAATTATAAGAAACATAGACTTCAAATTCGATTCCAAGCTTGCAAACATCGTGGAGTAAATTGAAGCTTTGGGCTATATTTTTCTGGTCGATTTTTGGGCGTCGTGATGCCGTCGCCCTTGGACCCTGAGAATCGCCAATTTTCGTGGGAAAGTCGTTTCGAACCCTCTTTTTGACGGGTCTATGTTAGTTAGGGGATAGCGATATTGAAACTAAATGAAACTAATTGATGATGTTTCAACTTTTTTTTTGGTGTTTCTGTCCTAGAACATCTAGAACTGGAATGATGGTGAAGATGATTTTTGCAATAAATGGCTGTGCTGACATTGCACCAATGTATGACGATTTGAATGGCAAAAAGATTGTGTCCCTAACCCCCAAAAAAAAACATACAGAAAATATTTCCCTTACAAAAACCTGAGTTTGCCATAAATTGCTCACATAAACTCCCATATAGTTTCCCATAAATTGCCCGGATTTTCTGGGAAAAATCCCATGGGAAAATCCCCCAAAAATCCACGGCCCATCGTCGGTGCCAGGGCTCTGTCGCGCCATCATCTCCAAGTGCTGCCGCTCGGTGGCCTCCGGGGGCAACTCTAAGGGCTCCACCTGGGGACCAAGCTGCGATCTCTGCGATTTTGCGGCGGCTTTTTTGGGGAATTTTCAATGGGAGATCTTCAGGATCCTAAAATGGAGGTACGTTAGTACCATATGTTTGGCCATATTTTGCTGGGATATTCCCTGAAATTTAGGCCTGAAAAATAGGCCTTATATATGGTAGGTAGCTCCAATTTAGGTTCCTGAAATGGCCATTGAAATTAGGATGGTTTAACATGGTTTATATAAGCCTCCAGATCTATGGATATCTATGGGAAATTCATAGGAATTCATGGAAATCAAAAAAAAATGATGGCAATAAATTTATGGCATCACAAATGGGGTAAAAAAAGGGAATTGGGGTGGCTTAACCCCCCAAATCTCTTGGAAATGGATGGGAATTGAATTGTTGGAATTGATGGACCCCAATCTATGGCTGCCATGGAATTTATGGCACCCTAGGGTCCCTAGGTTCAACTAACGGAGATGTGGACTTTCGCCAGCATGAATTTAGATCATTTTCCGAACGCGAAAGCGTGGGGTTTTCCACATCTATGTGAGTTTATCCTAGGATACTTCCTGGATATTGATGGCAATGTGTGCAATCTATGACTGGTTGGTGGTTTCAACCTACCCCTCTGAAAAATGTGAGTTCGTCAGTTGGGATGATGACATTCCCAACTGAATGGGAAGTCATAAAAGTCATGTTCCAGTCACCACCAACCAGATGAGAATGGAAGTTATGAAATGATGGTATCCAGCATGGTAAAGACTGGCGGGACATTGATATGGAACTTCGCATGATGAGATTCAAAATTAGGGATTCATCATGGATATGTGCAAAAATTGGCGTACGATCAAATCTTCGGGCCAACGGATGTCTATGGTATACCGCCCCATTCGACCAAGAGAGATGGGCTCGGGCCCACCTTCATAAGGTCCTCAGAGCGGATGGCCTGAATCGGTGAAGCGCCTGCGTTGGGCGCACGAAAAATTGGAACCCCCTTGAAATCTGGCATGGATTTTCATGGGAGGTCAGTGTTTTGTTGTTTTTTTCCACATCGCCAATCATTGCCACCTGTAGCTGTCCCCACCCAGGGTTCTTCATGTTATGGATGGCGGGGGGTAGAAGGATTTCTGAGCTGGCAGGTCATCGAAAAAGCAGTCGACCCATCCAACCCACTTGATTTCCGAGAATAAGAGAAGATGATGAACCATAAAATCTTAATAAATGGATATAACCGGATGGTATAAACATGTATAAACCATCAAGTTCTGGGTGGTTTATTCGTGTTTTTACTCACCAAAAACTGCCGAAAATCCCTGCCCAATGCAGATATTTTGGGGCCACGCCTTGGTCAACGGACTCCGGAGCCAGACGGACATCCTTCGCGTGATCCTGGTGGCCAATGGACCCAGGATGTTCCATTGGTTGGAAAATCCAGGTGTTTAGCCCCAAAAAGTAAGTGCCCTCTGGTAAACTAACAGTTTGCTAGTGAAAATGGCCATTTATAGTGAGTTTTCCCATTAAAAGTTGTGATTTTCCATAGTTATGTAAACGTTTACCAGAGGGTAAGTATGGCAGCAAAAGCCATGGGATATCATGGGAGATCAGCTTATCCCCACTGCTGGCTGGACCCCGAGAATGTTCCATCGCCCGGGTTGATTCATGTTCCCATCGCCGATTCATCTCAACCAATTGGTTGGGACCAGGAAATTTTGGGTCCCTCAAAAAAAAAACATCCATAAACTGTATCAGTTTAACTGGGTTTGACTCCCCATCTTGCTCGGTTAAGTGACTTCTGTAATCGCCCCATTTCCTGCCGATGTGGCCCAAATTTCTGCAAAATCCCCGTGCTGCTCGAATCTGGGGAAAAAAACTATTTCCTGCTGGTTAAATCGCTCCCCATCAAATCTACCAGCATGATGTCATTTTTCATCAGATGGCTTCTTAGCATTTTGATCGACTTTTTCCTTCACCTCAGATAACCATATTTACCACTTCCCATTCAGATCCATTTAGAAGAGACAATTTCCCACTGGATGATTCTCCCAGCTATAAACCATTATAAATTATAAACCTCCATTTATTTCGGATATGACTTCCATCCATTTCCCGCAAATGGCGCCATGAGCTGCTCCTGCTTCTTCTCCTCAACCCATTGGATTTCGAAGTCGACCGCGTTCCCTTGCTTCACCTCCTGGGCATCATCCATTCCATATACGTATCATTGTGTGTACGTGTTGGTCATGAAATGATCGTTGAATATCGTTGACTATCCGTGCCTATGAACCACGGACCAAAATGGGATGCACGTCTAAGTGCAAATCATGAACGACCATCAATAAAAGTCATGCACATCTCTCTCTCTCACTACTCATTTGGTCAAGCATGATGCCACGCAAACTCGAAACATGGCTGGCCACTTGAAACTGGCCCCAAATTTCATTGACTGCAATGCACCATAGTTAGCCAAGTTGGTGTATAAATATGTTCACTAGTGATTCACTAGTTGCGGTTTCCAATGAAATGACGATATTCATATGGCTTACAAAAACATACAAAAACAACAACCAGAACTACCTCTGGGGCACCAATACACCACCATTTGCGCCTCTCGAAGGTAGCTCTTGTGCACAAAGAGCTCCCTACCGTCACTGCACTGCACCTCGCTTAGAGTCATGGGATGCCATGGGGTTGTGAAGCCCCAAATGTCTTGTAGGTGGAGTACCCGCCGTTGGCAACGGCATCTCATCATCCAAGTGAGCCCTCGAAATGGAAAATGACTCCCTGGATGCTGATTGTCTAGAAAATGAAGGGAGGGTTCCACTTCCAAAATTCCTGACCGTGAATTGCAACATTGTGGTCAACAATTGGCTACGAGAAATTGGATGCTCTACTCCCAGAAATGGCCGGTTCGGGGAGCTTTGAATTCACAGGGGCAGTGACACTATGAGCGACCTACAATATGATGATGACTACCCTCAGTAATCAAAGATGGCAATGGAAAACCCACTCTTTAGTTCGATGTTTTTACATGTTTTTACTAGGTAGCCACGCTTGATTACCAGAGGGTATAGCCAACAATAATAGGGATAATCCCCACGTACTAGGGCCACTAGGCTACAATGGGGATACAAGCATAATCCCCATAATGGAGAAGATTTTAATAATAGGGATAGCTGGGGGTTTTTCATGCCAACCATTCTATGGCTATATTTTACGATACACAATGATTTGGATGATCCCTTCCGCGGTAGTCATTGCCATGGCTGGAAAATCCACCCGCCATAGTGACCGATGACCGGAAGGTATCCCCATGAGAAATATCCCCACAAAATGGTTGGCTTAAAAAGAGAGAATTAAAAAAAAAAACATTATCCCCATATTATCCCTATTATTGAGATTACATGAGATTACACCATTGTCTGTATTATGGGGATTCCATGTTATCTTGCTTGTATCCCTGTTGTACTATTATGATCTATTTTGGGGTTTCTCCCTATGATTGCTGGTTATACCCTCCAGTAATCTGGCAAATCCCCAGTTGGGAAAATCACCGAACTGCCATGGAGCCAGGCCCACCAGGCCCGCCAGCCCCGCCTTGCCGAAGCCTCGTCGCTCATCCCACAGCACCAGCACACCCCTGGCACGCGCACCAAAGCCGCGGAGACCCGCGGCGGCTTTCAGCCGTGGGAGGCGCCACATGGCACCGCTGCGGGGCCAATTTTCTGAAGTGGAATGGCTTGCATGGGTGTAAACCCCCACCCTGAGGTAGCAAAACATATCCCACATTAAGTCGGATTCTAGTACATTCTACTTTTAATTTGTTTTGGGGGGAGTGCTAAGATGGAAAACCTAGCAAAGAAAGCAATTCAAGCAAAAAAAGGGAGCCGATTCGGTCTTTCCAACTGGTGTCAAGAAGTTGTTTCAAACCTCATTCTGCGGCAACATATCATCTGACACGGTTCCATGATGTTCCATGAAAGATTGGAACATGCCGCTTCTATTCTCTTTCCTGGGAAGCTTGTGGCCAGTTCCCGATCACCCCACAAGGCAAACATTGCAGGTTGCAACTTCCTGGGATCCAAACCAGTTTTCTGCAGTGATGTTCATCTCGTTTCACCAATGGTGGTGACGAGTCCGTCAAAATTGCAGTGCAACATGTGTTCTTAAGAATTGATTTGGGTGGGCAATGGTTGCTTTGCTCTGCGGGCTGCTCTGGGGCGGTGTTGGTTTTAACACGTGGATCCAGCATATCCAACCCATGTGCTGTTAGCCAAAGCTCCGCCAATGATGAAAGCTGACTCTGCAAATTCACTCCCAACCCGCGAACTTGGCCTTTCACACGACATTTTGATCTGATAGGCTTGAAACTGAAAGTGCTGACATGTTTCATTGATGCTTTTCAATCGTTTTTCATGAGCAACCAGCTGCCTGCCATCCGCCACCTCGGCCTCAAATTTTCTGCCCAGCCGACCTCAACAGTGCTGGGCAGCAAATGGCTGGCCAGCCTGCAAAGCTCCGGTGAAACGCGCAGCTGCCACATGCCCGGAAGGGCACTGCCTCAAGACACCGGCCTTTCTGGTGTCCGCAGGATGTTCCAGTTGATCACTTGGATTTGCTTGAGATGGCTCAAAGATGGCCCAAATAAATAGTGGATTCAGCAATAAAAACCAAATCACCGTAAATTCCATGTTCAAAGGGGATGGTCAAGGCGACAACTTTGCTTTCCGCAGCTCTTCCCTGCACTGCAGGGATGCACAAATGGGCAGCGGTCGCCCCTCTGGCAATGGCTTCGTGTGAAGAAGCGGCAGACCTCCTTTGCGAACCTGGCGAGAGGGCAGGGAGGCGTCACGAGGTCGCAATCCGTCTGAAGAAAACCTATGCATAAGTGCTGCATAAGTATTGATAGTCCGTTTTCCAACTAAAAATGCTTCCTCACAGTCGGCTTTCTGTGCCAACTGTGATGGAAGCATATATCTGAGTGCTGTGGAATATTGCACTCAAGAATACGTTGTAGGTTCTCAAGTTCCATCTTCAAGCCGTTACCCTGCTGGGAATTTGAACTGTGTGGATGCCATGCCAAAGATTCTTGGTGAATGGCTGTTCCAGCTCACCGAAACATTCCGGGGTGACTTTCAGCCCGTCACAACCTCTCCTTGGTATAACCTCCTACTTTATAATACATAACACATAGATATTGATATGATCATATGAAGACATACGTAGCATTATGTAGTGTAGAGACTGGACTATGATTATCTTTTTATCTACGGTAATCTACGGTATATATAGTTCTTAGTTCGTATGGTGAATCTTACTATTAAATATCTATAGGATAAGGGGTCTTCTTAAGTCATCCCAAATGGGGGTATACCACATTGATGGTAAAATCCGGGATGACAAGACTATATAATCCCATTCATAGTACATAATAGTATTGGATTTAAATCCGTACTACTATTAGTAAATTGCTTGTCACATGTTTTTACACTTCGGTTTGTCAAATTATGATTTAACTTTATTTTTCAAGAACACCTATCATCTATCATCTATATATCAGTTCTATATTTGCCTAATACCGTATATGGTACATCAATTTGACTAGTAGATTCAGTAGATTTTTACTATCACTGGTTGGTGGTTAAAAAACCATCTTGAAAAATGATGGTGGTCGTCAATGGGAAGGATGACATCCCATATATGGAAAATAAAAGCCATGTTTGAAACCACCAACCAGGTAACTATATTATCCAATATGAAGTCCCATTAACCCATACTAAGTCCCTACTGCTGATGGTTTAATATCCATATTATTTTGAAACCACCAACCAGATCACCATCATATTCCCATTGTTGTTGTTTTATAATCTTATAGCCTATTAACCACTATTAACCATCACTATTAACCATCACTATTAACCACTATACTTCCTATGGTTTTATCCAACCGGTTCTCAAAATATCGAAAAAAAAAACCAGACCGACCGGTTCTCCAGCACCTCGGCTCCGTTTCCGCTGGCTCCTCCTCGCTGTCGGGCGGCGCCGGGGCCTCCGCAGTCTCCGCAGGGTCCGCGTGGGGCTCGGGGTGATCGAAGATGCATTTGGCGTTGCGGCAGCTGTCCTGGAAACGTGGAAAAACTCAGAAAAACTCATGGAAAATCTGGAGAAGCCTGGAACATGATTGAAAAATCTGGAAATGTTCCAGGATTGGATGGGAAAATGATGGGAAATGATGGGAACGTTTGTGGCACTTTGCGGCAGTTTGCACCAGTTCGATGAACTACTCGGGGGGGGAAATCAATCCATCAATCGTGGCAACAGCACTTCCTGCTCCAATGGTGCCTCTAGGTGTGTAAGGTGATAAGCGCATGATTTTTCAACCCATGTGCGCAGCACCCCGAACCTTCTGTCGGCTCACAGGGTTCGTGTTTGCCCGAGAAACCAGCTAGTTTCATGGAAATTTCACCCTCAACCACCAAGGGTTTGGGTTTGGGGGCATTGCTTACGATATCTTACGATGGACATCGATGGACAACAACACCTCCAATTTACAGATCAATTTCCCATGAAAACCTCCATTTACAGTACATTTACAGTGCCTGTTGAATTGCGTTTGATTCCCGGAGAGTACCCGGGCCTGGAACTTGCAGGGATGCGCACCCTGCTTGCAGTTCTTCATCTGCTTGCAGCTTCCAGAGCAGAAGAACTTGCAAATGGGTTTGCGGACGCCACCAACCACGTAGCTTCCTGATTGTCGATGAGTTGGTTTTACGGAAGATTTATTTATTTATTTACAGGAAGCCATGGTCTTCCCATGAATTATGGGGAGAGATTGGTGGTTCAGCCTCCTGAATGATATGAAACAATATATATAAAACTATACTGTGACATCTGTGATCATATTCCCATGTTCAGAAAGGGGCGGTCCCTTTTCTTGGTTGTTTAATCTTGTCCAATATCACCCGCCATCTCTTCATGTGGTAAACCCAACTGTCGACGACCACCCCAATTTGACCAGAAATGGATACAAACCATCGACAATTGAAAGTCTTTATTATCTTTATTGGACATAGCGTAACTTTCCAAGGCAACAGGTTGGTGAAATGACATCCGTTGAAATCATGGAGAAAAATGATGAAACATGAATGAAATTGATGTTTCCTAAAATGGGGGACCATGACTTAGTCTTGAAACCTATGGCGACTTGGGGATCCCCCATTTTAAGAACCCCCCAAATCACCAAATCACCAACCGCAGCTTCTGCCGCCATCCACCGTGTACTGCTCCCCATTCCGCATGTGCACCGTCACCGTTGCCCCCGGCGACGCCGGCGACACCGGCGAGGCCGGCGACGCCGGGGAGGCCGGTGACACGGGCGGGCGCGGGGGTCGCGGCGCGGCGGCCGGGGTGCGCAACTGCTGCAGCGTGGCCACGGGGGTGGGAGAGGGGCACCAGCTGGAAGCCTGGTGCCTTGGGAGCCACAGATTGGAGATAGAAATGGATAGAATCCCACCCCCTTTCTATGGTCCAATATGGAAATCCCCGAAGTTTCTGGGTGTTTAGTATGGGATTTAATTGCCATGCTTGGGGATGCTTGGGGATGCTTGGGGCACAATTAGAATGAGATTTTTATCAAATTTATATACTTGGATGTATCTTGATGTGATAAAAAATGGGTATGTTTGAAAATGGGGTAGACCTCCAAATGGCAATTTTCTAGGGAAAATGATCCTATTCTCAGACAAACCTACCTTGGGACTTCAGGGCTGGGCCAAACCAATCCATGCGAGACATGTCCTGCAGATATTCCGTTGCTGGTGGGTTTCAACCCAGCCCCAGATGCCCCAGAATATGATGGTCATTTAGGAATCACTATCCCACTGTCTAATACTATTCCCAGAAAAGCTAGAAAAGTACAATCCACCTAGATGTCCTGTCTTCTGGGTGTGCTAGGAATAAATAGATAAATGATTTAAAAAAAATAGTTAGTACTCAAAAAAAATAGACACCTACATAACTTGTCATGTAAATCTGTGCAAGTAGGATGTTATTTATTTTTTTGGGGTTTTGCTACAACTCACATGTGGAAAACCCTGGCTGCCATAAGCCTACCATACCTGGGGATGGCTTCTACCACCCATGTTTACATGGTGATTTTGGAGTTTATAATTGGAGTTACCACAATCTGATTGTTCTTCTTATGATAGTGTTGAAGCCCATAACAATAATTATCCACTAATCATCCCATTAGTCAGGATAATAATCTATATCTGTATTCACTTCTTAGTTATACGTATATATATATATATTATATATTATGCATGTATTCATCTAATAGAAAATAATCTATCTATCTAGTTATTGGGTTTTACCACAAAGAAATATTTCCCCAAAAAACCACCCAGACCCAACATCAAAGGTGCAGCATCTCATCGATGGCTTCAAAGGTCTCTGAGGCCGCAAGGTCTAACTCATCTAACCTCGGGCCCCGTCCGGTGGATGGGTTGAATGGGGAGAGGGAGGAGAAAAAAAAACGGATCTGAAAGGGGGGTCAGAAATATGACCATAGTAAACCATAGTAAACCATAGTAAACATCGGCAAACCTTATTAACTACCAATCTGAAAAATTACCAGTGGATCTTCAAGGTCGAACATCTCCGAAAGTGGGGAACGGGGAACAGAGGTAAATCTTCGGCGAACCTCCAGGTTTTAAGTGGTAAAAATCCATGGTTTCCTGTAGATTTTACGTTCAACCAATCCTCTGAATGGTGATTTGAACTGTCTTTCCAGCTCTGAAATCCTCCCAAAAAAAAGGTGAAAAAAAGGTGAGGTAGTGATGTACTGACTTTCCGCATTGGAACCAGTGGAGAAGTTCTTCAACAGGATACCAGGAAAAGACGCGCGCGCGCACCGTCGTTTGCCCAAGATTTCAATGAACGTGAAAACATGTTCTTACATCGAAAAAAGAACATGGAAAATCATGCGTTAGAACAATAGGCGTAGGGCGTAGGGCCAAAACCCATGCAAGTGTGGAAGCTACTGCTCAGCTAGCTGGCACCGGTTGATATTGAAACATGCAACAGTACTCAATGAATGTTGGGCGAGATGAAGGAAAAAAACCAAACACATTTAAGATACATTTCACCACCATTTAGATCCATTTAAGTTCGGGGGGCCAGGGGGATCTACATTGTTGCGAATTCAAAGCATTGCTGATGTTGATGTCGAGGCTGATATGCCGAGGTTGGCAATACCATCTTCGAAGCTATATCAAACATGTTCCAACATGCTCCAACCATGCAACATGATTCAAACATATTCAAACTATGAATCAGCGTGATCTTTGGATTACCAGCCTACTCAAGATTCTTCCAGGATGCCTTGCTCACACAGCGCTTGTTCAGTGATTCTTGGGCTGGTCACGCGTTGGTGAAGGACATCCACTAGCTCCCCGGCAAATCGCCAAAAAAAGTGGTCAAATCTCCCAGTGCGATCCCTGCCGGGCAACTTTTGTTCAGTTAGACCTTCAGGGTGAGCCCCCACATTCACATAACCTGTGAATGGTCAAGCGCTGCCACAAAAGTTCCACTGGGACAATTTTCGTGCCAACTTTTTTGCAAAACCCATGACGGTCGAAGATTGCTTTTCAGATTCAGAATCCGCGAAAAATCACAAGTGTTCCCGAAGTCAAAGTCCAACAACAAAAACTCTGCTAGCATCCACAAGCTGAGTTTCGATCATTGATCCCCTTGATTCTTTGACAGATTTTGCTCAAGATCTCACGGTCCTTCCGCTGAGCGATGAGGTCACGATGCAAATTCATCCAATGCGCCACTTGACCTGCCATAAGGTGGACTCCAGTTCTGAAGCGATCCTCGGCTGGGAGCCCCAGGATGTCCTAAGGGTCCTAAGGGTATGGTCAGTCAGCCAGAAATATATTATAATTATATAATCGTCATTGAAGATCCATTCTGAAGGAAAAGAAATAGAAATGAAATGAAGTCATTTACGATCACTTCATATTTTGGGGTTTGTTTTGGTGAGGGCCTGGGTCAACGGAAATCTGTGGGCGAACTCAACGCCTTGAAGTGGAAAATGTGGTGCTTGGGCTCAAACATGGGTAAAATGATAGGTGGCTACGGATCAAAACTGGCGATGCCATATTGGGGGAATGAAGTTCCAGCTACACCCGCTATGTTGATGTGACAACTCGAGGCTTTTGATCCAGAGCAAACCGCGCAAGTCCGGCCCAAGCTTCCCGCTGGCTATCAATCTACGCATCGCGAACACCAAAGGAAGCCATCAGAACGTTCTCCTTACACGCCGGAAAACGTATGGCCAGAACGAGTCCTCAGGGAAATCGCAATTCTCAATGTGTATATATATATATGTATACATACACATATACATGTATATATGTTTATATGTGTGTGTAATAACCCCAAAAACTTGAAAGCAAATTATCACTATTTGTATAGCAGGAAATCACTTCTCTATCTTTTTGTGGGTTGCGATATATATATATATATATATGTGTGTGTGTTATATATATATATTAAAATATGTAATTATATAAATGTGTGTGTGTGATTATATATGTGTTGCCCCAGCCTGGGTGAGATGGGAACATGATGGAACATGTTTACCGTACTGTGACAAAGCTATGAGGGCTTTTGTCTATGGCTATAGGCTAATATAGGCTATAGCTGTTCATAATATTATAAAATTCTCAGAGCATGGCAATAGATGTTCCAAGTCGTTTATTTTTCATTGTAATGTGTGGCGTGGCTCATTATGTTTTTTTCGACGTACCCTCTGCTAATCTCACATAGCTATGGAAAATGGCCCATTTAGTTCGATGTTACACCAATAAGAACTGTTCAATGACTGGGGGGATACAAAAAAAAAGGTCGTTTCAAACATCTTTCAGGGGAATATGTCAATAAGTTTCCACATGTTTCCACGTCCTGCGGAGAATTACCCTCTGGTAAATAAACATAGACCCTGAAAATCACCAATTGTTAATGGAAACTAGTCTTCCAACCCCTATCTGCCAGGGTCTATGTTTATTTACCAGAGGGTATGAGAATTCTGAATATTCTGAACGGCCATGCAGCCACGAATTGTCCAATGAGCTCCCGCATCTTGGAGGATAGCTGGCAATGATAGTCCTGAAGGGGTACCGAGTCCAATGAGCTCGTCACCGAACCCACAGAAGCCACCACAAAGCACCAGAAGATCATCAAATACCCTCTGGTGAACATACAAAAAGCTATGGAAAATGGCCATAGAAATAGTGGATTTTCCCATGAAAAATTGTGATTTTCCATTTCTATGTTAGTTCACCAGAGGGTAGCTGATTTCCCATTGAGTCATCGGAGCGCCGGAGCGCCTCAACCAATGGCTGCCTGCTATTCGTTTGTGGTTGCCCAATGTCCCCAAAAGAATGGAAATGAATGGGGGGATCATCTGTTGCAAAGGTGCCAGGCTTTGGTTCATGTCTTCCCCAGTCGTCCTTTCGATCAGCGACGGTCTGCCTGGCCTTTTCTATGAAGCCATCCACAGCTGGTCTCAGATTCAATCCTTCCAACCATTCCTGAGCCGATGCCAACCACGGCTGGAAAACCACCAGGAAACCACGAACCAAATTTTAGGTCAGTCGCTGGCTGGAATATGATGTTCCTATTGATCAAATAGCGGCTAGTATCAAAGTGTATCAAACATTGCTAGCTACTTGGATGTGGGTTCGATCAAAGGTCTGTTCCTAAAACAGACCTTTGAACACCTGTAGGACGATGCTACCTCATTTTTCTTGCTAAACAAACAACCTTTGATGGTCAACAAACAACGGTTCCATTTACCATTTAACATCTTCGGGTCTTCATAAAACCCCCCATGGCCATCGACATCCATCGACCAAGTCTCACTAAAGACCCTGTCATTGGCCACTCGTCTTTGGAGTTGGTCGATGCTATTTTCCTTGGGAAAATGGGCACTTGAAACATGTCTGGGCATGGCGCAGAGACACAGATCTAAAGCAAAAAAAAGAGCAATAGAATCATGTGCTTTTATTACATAGTATGATCACCTAATCACCTATATAATCATATGTGTGGATATATATATATATATATTTTTACCCAAATCTGCTTGGGCAAATGAATCCTGAGCCTTTTCAGTGTCATTGCGAACCGTCCCGGAATGACGGAAACCCAACCACCCCCTACTAGCACGTCAGGCATCAGGGACCGTCCGCCCACCGGCAAAGTAGTTCCTGCACATCTTTGCGGGTGACCCAAGATGACCCTCCAAAGTTCTACTATAATATAGAAATCTTGGGTAATCTACTATTTCAGATACCAAAGTTCTAGAAGACTCACTGAAATAGTTACAATTCGATTGTACGATTGACTATTGGCTATGAAACTGATTGGCCAAACAATTACTGGAATTACTTTTGACCTCCCACTCGTACCTGGGATAAATTGAACACCCACCCAAAGGGGAAAAACAACTGTAAAAACCCTCAAACATCTGTCTTAACCACTATAGTACCAGTATTTAGCATTTATCCGATTGTATCCATACATCCATAATAATGCATCCTAATCATCACAAACATATAACAAAAAAGAAACATCATAATACAACATTATTACACTTTTCTCAACACCTGTAGATCCAAAAAGGTCGAAAAGTGTTGCCAGGATGGGCCGTTCCATGATGATCCCCTCACATCTTTTCCAAGTATCCAACCTTTGGGGGTTGACCACCCATATTGCGATCGTTGATAGCACCCATTTAAGTTAACATTGGGGATGGTTTACTATGGTTTACTCTTACTCTTCTTTTACTAACATTAATGGGTATACTATTTATCATCATGAATCACCATGAATCACCATGAATCATCCCATGAAAATCACTATTCATGAACATTCCTCACTAGCTGATCCTCACACCTGATCTCTGTAGCTGTCTCAGACTTGAAGCTGCACACTTGGACCTTCCGCAGGGGTCGGCAGTGGGGCGCCAGGTACCTAACTGAGTTGCGTTCAGAAACCGGGCCTCGGCGGGGCCCCCCAGTCATGGTTTAGTCCCATCAACAATGCCAAGATAGCCGAATGATCGCGGATTTCTGTGGATTTCTGTGGTGTTTTCCACTGATTTCCCGGATTGGAAACTTCCACAAAAAAAGGCCAAAAAATCCGATGAATGAAACGTCAGGGCACTCCACCCAGCCGCAGAGCTCTCGCAGGACCAGGTCCACCGAGAGCTCCGCGAAGCAACGCAAGGTCTTGGGGCCGTAGCCGGTGAGGACTGTCAGCAAACTGCTGCAGTCCTTCTCCAACAGGACCTGCGGAGAAGGGTCGGGGTCAAGGTGTAAGTCTTAGCAATGTGTCAAAAACCATGGCATGCAAATGTAAACGTATAATCGTATGAAATCTGTGTAATGATATATTGAGTGCGTATATATATATATATATGCACATTCAATTTAATGCACATATATGTATATAAATTTTAAATCGTGCGTATGTGCAAGACTCACCTAGCAAGGCTATTGACATCCAGTGACAATGGACGGTTTGGCATGATCTGATTGCCCGTTCTGCTTGGCTGTTCGTTTCCGGGCCTCAATGATCTTGAACCCCAAACCATATGATGCAGCACCATGGGCGTAAATTAAACAATCCAGGAATAGAAAAGGGTTACAAGTCGACCATCCCAAAATTTGAAAATAATCTTCATCTGTAGGATTGCTGCATGTGTATTTGTGATATATACATATATATATATATACACACACGCATATTACGTAGACACATGATTCTACATGATTATATGTGCCGCGCCCTGTAACAGAATCACACCCAAACCATCTATGTTCCCATTTCGCCACGCTTGGGCCTTGTCAAGGCACATCAAGTCCTTGTATAACTCCGCAACATTCAAGTTCCTCGGTCTCTGCGATTCTCTGCCATCTACGGCCTCTCCGCCTTGTCGATGGGACACTCTCAAGGGCCGACCATAAAATCTATACGTCGTATGGTCAGTGCATCCCACGAACAAACAAAATCAATAGAATCCAGGGCCTAGGGTGCAGCCACATGGATGTTCATATATTTCGATATAATTACCCTCTAGTAAACTTACAGTTTGCTATTGAAAATGATCTATTTATAGTTGATTTACCTATTCAAAATGGTGATGTCCCAGTTGCTATGTAAACGTTTACCGGCTATTTCATATGGAGATGTCCTATGCAGCCCCAAATCATCGTCGATTCAGATCGCCAAAGGTCTCGTTGCTGCTTCCCAGGTCCACCACTGCCAAGCCAAAGGGAACCTCCTCGCCATGAAGGTTTTTCGTTCGCTGGGAAAACCATTGGAAAATATGGGTATATATATATAATGGTATATAAATGAACTGGTTGGTGGTTGAGCCTACCCCTCTGAAAAATATTTGATGTTCGTCAGTTGGGATGATGACATTCCCAACTGAATGGAAAGTCATAAAAGTCATGTTCCAAAGCACCAAACAGGGAAGGTTTAGTCATTAGTCTGCTGGGAAAATCATGGAAGTATAGCTCCGGGGGTTTCTAGCAAGCCATGTTTGATGACATCAGCGACATGTTGCCACGACGAGTCATGTCCCTGGGAATTTCCCATGCCACATATGGCAACGCATTCAGCAGCTCCAAAAATAACCCAAATCACTAGAGAGGTTGCAACCTGGCGGGCAGGGCTTATCTATAGGGAGAATGGTTACCCTCTGGTAATTTAACATAGCTATTGAAAATGGCCATTTATAGTGAGTTTTCCCATTAAAAATTGTGATTTTCCATAGCTATGTTAAATTACCAGAGGGTTAAAAAAAGAAGTTTGATTTTCCAGGCTTCCGAACCTGCCTACATTTGGCTGCTTCACATTCCACCGCATGGGCCACGGACAGATCCGAATGGGCCACGGAATGTGATCGGACATTCGATTGAAGCTGTACGAGCGAAAAAAGAACTGCACATCTGGCAATGGAGGACAGAGAAGTTTTGGCTGATTTCTATTGATTTTTGGGGTAGATATAAAAATAGCGCATATACCATATTATATATATATATATATCTCATTATATATCCATATATGCCCAAATATTATAATTATTATAGCATATACCATCCACATACCCTCTGGTAATTTAACATAGCTATGGAAAATCACCATTTTTAATGGGAAAACTCACTATAAATGGCAATTTTCAATAGCTATGTTAAATTACCAGAGGGTATACCTCTCCATCCCCCATGGGATCCATGGGCTGCGGCCACCTCGTTGGGCAAGTCGTTGAAGACATGCACTCGGTGCACCGTGGCCTGGATCCCAGAACCCAAATTCAACATGTTTTGATAGGAAATGATGAAGAATCACCAAAAATTATGATTCTTTATGGATCTTTGTGGATCTTTATGGATTTTTATTTTTTTTTAATAGATTTTTATGATTCTTTATGGATCTTTGTGGATCTTCATGGATTTTTATGTTTTTTAAATAGATTTTTTATGATTCTGGATCTTTGTGGATCTTCATTGATTTTTATGTTTTTTAAATAGATTTTTTATGATTCTTTATGGATCTTTGTGGATCTTCATGGATGTTTATGTTTTTTAAATAGATTTTTTATGATTCTTTATGGATCTTTGCGGATCTTCATGGATGTTTATGTTTTTTTAATAGATTTTTTATGATTCTTTATGGATCTTTGTGGATCTTCATGGATGTTTATGTTTTTTTAAATAGATGTTTTATGATTCTTTATGGATCTTTGTGGATTTTCATGGATTTTTATGTTTTTTAAATAGATTTTTTATGATTCTTTATGGATCTTTGTGGATCTTCATTGATTTTTATGTTTTTTAAATAGGTTTTTTATGATTCTTTATGGATCTTTGTGGATCTTCATGGATTTTTATGTTTTTTAAATAGATTTTTTAGGATTCTGGATCTTTGTGGATTTTCATGGATTTTTATGTTTTTTAAATAGATTTTTTATGATTCGTTATGGATCTTTGTGGATCTTCATTGATTTTTATGTTTTTTAAATAGGTTTTTTATGATTCTTTATGGATCTTTGTGGATCTTCATTGATTTTTATGTTTTTTAAATAGATTTTTTATGATTCTTTATGGATCTTTGCGGATCTTCATGGATGTTTATGTTTTTTTAATAGATTTTTTATGATTCTTTATGGATCTTTGTGGATCTTCATGGATGTTTATGTTTTTTTAAATAGATGTTTTATGATTCTTTATGGATCTTTGTGGATTTTCATGGATTTTTATGTTTTTTAAATAGATTTTTTATGATTCTTTATGGATCTTTGTGGATCTTCATTGATTTTTATGTTTTTTAAATAGGTTTTTTATGATTCTTTATGGATCTTTGTGGATTTTCATGGATTTTTATGTTTTTTAAATAGATTTTTTATGATTCTTTATGGATCTTTATGGATTTTTATGGAGTTGTGTATTGGAGATGTGGGTTGCATTGGGCGCATTCTACCGTCAGCTCAGACTATCCCCTCGTAGTTTGCTAATGTTTGTTGTCAATTTCTCAGGGTTTGAAGTCCCCAAAGTTGTTGCCACAAATTCACAGTTCTTTGATTACATCACAGTTCAACCTCAGGTTAAATTTTGGTCATCAATAGTGACTTCAATGCGTTTAAATTAAAAGACCTTCACCCAGGTGAATCATCTAAAAATCCAAATTAAAAGACCTTCACTCAGGTGAATCATCTAAAAATCCAAATTAAAAGACCTTCACTCAGGTGAATCATCTAAAAATCCAAATTAAAAGACCTTCACTCAGGTGAATCATCTAAAAATCCAAATTAAAAGACCTTCACTCAGGTGAATCATCTAAAAATCCAAATTAAAAGACCTTCACTCAGGTGAATCATCTAAAAATCCAAATTAAAAGACCTTCACTCAGGTGAATCATCTAAAAATCCAAATTAAAAGACCTTCACTCAGGTGAATCATCTAAAAATCCAAATTAAAAGACCTTCACTCAGGTGAATCCTTCACTCAGGTGAATCATCTAAAAATCCAAATTAAAAGACCTTCACTCAGGTGAATCATCTAAAAATCCAAATTAAAAGACCTTCACTCAGGTGACCATCTAAAAATCCAAATTAAAAGACCTTCACTCAGGTGAATCATCTAAAAATCCAAATTAAAAGACCTTCACTCAGGTGAATCATCTAAAAATCCAAATTAAAAGACCTTCACTCAGGTGAATCATCTAAAAATCCAAATTAAAAGACCTTCACTCAGGTGAATCATCTAAAAATCCAAATTAAAAGACCTTCACTCAGGTGAATCATCTAAAAATCCAAATTAAAAGACCTTCACTCAGGTGAATCATCTAAAAATCCAAATTAAAAGACCTTCATCAGGTGAATCATCTAAAAATCCAAATTAAAAGACCTTCACTCAGGTGAATCATCTAAAAATCCAAATTAAAAGACCTTCACTCAGGTGAATCATCTAAAAATCCAAATTAAAAGACCTTCACTCAGGTGAATCATCTAAAAATCCAAATTAAAAGACCTTCACTCAGGTGAATCATCTAAAAATCCAAATTAAAAGACCTTCACTCAGGTGAATCATCTAAAAATCCAAATTAAAAGACCTTCACTCAGGTGAGACCTTCGCTCAGGTGAATCATCTAAAAATCCAAATTAAAAGACCTTCACTCAGGTGAATCATCTAAAAATCCAAATTAAAAGACCTTCGCTCAGGTGAATCATCTAAAAATCCAAATTAAAAGACCTTCACTCAGGTGAATCATCTAAAAATCCAAATTAAAAGACCTTCACTCAGGTGAATCATCTAAAAAACCAAATTAAAAGACCTTCACTCAGGTGAATCATGTAAAAATCCAAATTAAAAGACCTTCACTCAGGTGAATCATCTAAAAATCCAAATTAAAAGACCTTCACTCAGGTGAATCATCTAAAAATCCAAATTAAAAGACCTTCACTCAGGTGAATCATCTAAAAATCCAAATTAAAAGACCTTCACTCAGGTGAATCATCTAAAAATCCAGATTAAAAGACCTTCACTCAGGTGAATCATCTAAAAATCCAAATTAAAAGACCTTCACTCAGGTGAATCATCTAAAAATCCAAATTAAAAGACCTTCACTCAGGTGAATCATCTAAAAATCCAAATTAAAAGACCTTCACTCAGGTGAATCCTTCACTCAGGTGAATCATCTAAAAATCCAAATTAAAAGACCTTCACTCAGGTGAATCCTTCACTCAGGTGAATCATCTAAAAATCCAAATTAAAAGACCTTCACTCAGGTGAATCATCTAAAAATCCAAATTAAAAGACCTTCACTCAGGTGAATCCTTGACTCAGGTGAATCATCTAAAAATCCAAATTAAAAGACCTTCACTCAGGTGAATCATCTAAAAATCCAAATTAAAAGACCTTCACTCAGGTGAATCATCTAAAAATCCAAATTAAAAGACCTTCACTCAGGTGAATCATCTAAAAATCCAAATTAAAAGACCTTCACTCAGGTGAATCATCTAAAAATCCAAATTAAAAGACCTTCACTCAGGTGAATCATCTAAAAATCCAAATTAAAAGACCTTCACTCAGGTGAACCATCTAAAAATCCAAATTAAAAGACCTTCACTCAGGTGAATCATCTAAAAATCCAAATTAAAAGACCTTCACTCAGGTGAATCATCTAAAAA